TAAGCCCTCTTATGGTGGTGCTAGTTACATGATTACCATTATTGATGATTACTCAAGAAAAGTACGGCCTTACTTTCTAAAAAATAAAGATGATACTTTTGCTGCTTTTAAAGAGTGGAAAGTTATGATAGAAAGACAAACTGAAAAGAAGGTAAAATTGCTTCGTACTGACAATGGCGGTAAATTCTATTCGGATGCTTTTAATGATTACTGCAGGGAAGAAGGCATTGTCAGGCACCACACCATCCCGTACACTCCTTAGCAGAATGGTGTGGCTGAGCGCATGAACTGAACCATCATCTCGAGGGCTCGTTGCATGCTGTCCAATGCTCATAAGAACAGACGTTTTTGGGCTGAGGTTGCTAACACCGCCTGTTACTTGATCAACCGGTCACCTTCTATCCCACTTAATAAGAAAACTCCCATTGAGATATGGTCTGGTATGCCTGCTGATTATTCACAGTTGAGAGTTTTCGGTTGCGCTGCTTATGCTCATGTTGATAATGGAAAGCTAGAACCTAGAGCCATTAAGTGTCTGTTTCTTGGTTATGGTTCTAGAGTTAAAGGATATAAGTTATGGAATCCTAAAACTAAAAAGACTTTCATGAGCAAAAACATTGTTTTCAATGTGAAGGGGACCGTGACGCTTAAGAGGGGGGTGAATTAGGCAACTTAAAAATCTAACTCTTAACTTTGGCCTCTTTTTCCAACCCTAGCAAAACCTATGCAAAAGATAAACTATCTAAATGTGCAACTATGGTTTTGCTAGTGTATTGCTATCTCTACCGCAAAAGGAGTAATACAATCAATGTAAATGTGAAAGCTAAAGAGCAAGGTAGAGATATGCAAACTCCCGTCGATGACTCCGGTATTTTTACTGAGGTATCGAGAAGCGCACAAGCTTCCCCATAGTCCTCGTTGGAGCCCCTCGCAAGGAATCCCTTGCAAGGGCCAAGCTCCCGGTCGGGTAACTCCGTGGATAGCCTCGGGCCTTCCCCACACGCAAGTGGGTCTCCGACGTGCCTTCCAGCAAGCCTCTCCCAGATGCTCCCCGCCGTCTTCACTATCAAGCTTCCGGCCGAAACGCCGCGGGCCTTGTTCCCTCCGGTACACGGTGGCGGCCACACCACAAACGCGGTTGGTGTGATCTCGCAAGACTACAAGCCCCTCCGATGTACAACAATGGTGCGCGCAAGCACCGAGTGGTAAGAGGTATGCAAACCTCACTAAACACTAGGCCTAAACCTAGAGCAAGCGCATAAGCGGTGATCTAATCAACCTAAGCACTTCACAAAGCACCTATGCTAATCACCTGATGAATCACTAAGCTATATGCAAGTGGAGATCACTAAAATGGTGTATCAACACCCTAGATATGTTTCCTCAGCTCCACCCATCCAAATGGCTAGTTGGGGGTTGTATTTATAAGCCCCACTGAGAAAGTAGCCGTTGGGGATGAAATCCTGCTTTTCTGCTACTGACCGGACGCTGGAGTTGTCCTGATCGGACGCGTCCGGTCATCCCGACCGTTGGAGCCGCGAACAACTGATCGGACGCTGTCAGCGTCCAGTCACTTGCCACCGGACGCGTCCGGTCGCAAGTTCGCCACTCTGGAACCTCTTTATACTAGATCAGACGCTGCTATCCTGCGTCCGGTTGGTTTGCCGCCAGCGTCCGGTCCAGTGTCTGGTTGCTGCTGCTGCTGCCGAGCCTCTAATCGGAGCGTCCGGTCCAGCGTCCGGTCGCTGCTGTGAGCTCGTTTCTTCGCGATCTTGCGTGCAGCTTGGTTTCTATCTTCATGCTTGGACTTTGCTTGATATCTTGGGCCTTCTCTTGTGCTCCTAAGGTCTTGCTTGAGGTGTTGATCATTGGATCATCTCGTCGCCTTTGTCCAAGTCACGTCTTGCATCCTATTGAACTACAAAACAATCACTTGCAAATTCATTAGTCCAGTTTGGTTGTGTTGGTCATCAAGCACCAAAATCCAAAGTAAATGGGCCTAGGGTCCATTTTCCTTACACAATGAATCTGTTATGTTTAATGATAGCTTGTCCACAGATGTTTCACCAGTTGGTTCTGATGAGGAGCAGGAACATGTTAGCGTGCAGGTGGAGCACATAGATGATTAGGAAACTGAAATTGTTGATAACAATGTTCATGATATTGTTCAGCACTCACCTCCTGTTTTGTAGCCTCAAAATCAGTCTATTGCAGATCGCAGAACAAAGAGGAGTTGTGGACCTCATCCACGTTTAATTGAGGAATGTGATATTGTTCATTATGCCTTTAGTTGTGCTGAACAGGTTGAGAACATTCATGAGCCGGCTACGTACACTGAAGTTGTTGTTTCTGGTGACCGTGAGAAGTGGATTTCCGCTATGCAAGAAGAGATGCAGTCACTTGAGAAAAATAGCACATGGGATGTTGTGCGCTTGCCTAAACACAAGAAGGTCATTCGTTGCAAATGGATCTTCAAAAAAAAGGAGGGTTTGTCTCCTAGTGAGCCTCCAAGATTTAAGGCAAGGTTAGTAGCAAAAGGTTTCAGTCAGATTTCTGACGTTGATTATAATGATGTGTTCTCTCCAGTTGTAAAGCATAGTTCAATTCATATATTTTTCGGTATTGTTGCTATGCAAGATCTTGAGCTTGAACAGTTAGATGTAAAAACTGTGTTTCTACATGGAGAGCTCGAGGAGGAGATATACATGGACCAGCCAGAAGGGTTCATAGTACCTGGTAAGGAGGATCATGTTTGCAAATTAAAGAGGTCCTTATATGGTTTGAAGCAGTCTCCTCGTTAATGGTATAAAAGGTTTGATTCTTTTATGATGTCACATGGTTTTAAGAGGTCTGAATTTGATAGCTATGTGTACATTAAATTTGTTGATGGATCACCTATATATTTGTTGTTATATGTTGATTGCTGCCAAGAGCAAGAAAGAAATCACTACGTTGAAGAAACTGTTGAGTAGTGAGTTTGAGATGAAGGATCTTGGTGCTGCTAAGAAGATTCTAGGTATGGAAATTACAAGAGACAGAAATTCTGGTTTGTTATTTCTTAGTCAGCAAAGTTACACTAAGAAAGTTCTTCATCGTTTCAACATGCATGATGCAAAGTCTGTTAGTACCCCTATTGCTCCTCATTTCAAATTATCAGCTTTACAATGTGCTAGTACGGATGAGGATTTTGAGTACATGTCAAGAGTTCCATAATCTAGTGTTGTTGGTTCTTTGATGTATGCCATGGTTTGCTCTCGTCCTGATTTATCATATGCTATGAGTTTGGTTAGTAGATACATGACTAATCCTGGTAAAGAATATTGGAAGGTTGTTCAGTGGATTTTCAGGTACCTTCGTGGCACAACAAATGCTTGTTTGAAGTTTGGCAGGACTGATAAGGGACTCACTGGCTACGTGGATTCAGATTTTGCTGCTGATTTGGATAAAAGATCTCTCACAGGTTATGTGTTCATTATTGATGGTTGTGCTGTGAGTTGAAGGACAACATTATGGCTCGTTGTTGCCCTGTCTACCACTGAAGCAGAATACATAGCTATTGACGAAGCATGTAAAGAATCAGTTTGGTTGAAAGGTTTATTTGCTGAGCTTTGTGGAGATGATTCTTGCATTAATTTATTTTGTGACAGTCAAAGTGCTATATGTCTCACTAAAGATCAGATGTTCCATGAGAGAACGAAGCACATTGATGTCAAATACCATTATGTTCGCGATGTGGTCGCGCAAGGTAAGCTGAAGGTATGCAAGATAAGCACATATGATAATCCTGTTGATATGTTGACAAAGCAAGTTCTGTTGCTAAGTTTGAGCTTTGCTCAAGCTTAGATGGTATAACTGTTTAGCCCAAGAGGCTATTTTGGCACCGGAAGTATTTCTTTGTTGTTTCAGGGTGAAGGTTCGTTTTATGCTAGAAGAAGGAATTTATGTCAAGGTGGAGTTTGTTGAGTTGTGATCCAAATTCAGTTATGTACAAGATAAAGGCTAATTTCTGTCAGAGCGAAGCGAGGCCCGTCGCCGGAAGGCTTGGGCTGAAGCGAAGCGGAGGCTGAAATTAGCCCATCATGTTTCGCCGCCGCACCCAGGGACGCCTGGGGGGTGCGAAGCCCCCGTGGTACGGATCATCACCTATTAGAGTTTTTCATCTGTATATACTTTATGTTAGCCGTCGTCTTGGGATAAGAAAAATTATAAATCCCCAACGTTTGTAACCTCACCCGATATAGTGAAGATTTACTGGCTGATGCTCGTGATTTTTTTCCTTCCATCTTAGAAGGGTTTTTCACGTTAAAATCTTAGGTTCCTTGTACTTGATCTACTATTCTTTATCGTTTATATTGGCTATCGTTTATAACATATATTTCACTGTCACCAGCCCAAAGGAAGCGACGGCATGCTTTGTCTCTGTCTTCAGTGAGTTGTTTAGGAATCTTGAGAGCGGACAAATTAAAAGATAGATTGGGATGGTGCTAAGAACTGAGCGTACTAGCTCGCGTCCACTGCATTTAGGAGCCGGCCTTGCCATCCCGCTAGCTTTGCCCTTGTTTTGTCAATAATATATTCTGCACGTGCACTAGGTTCGATCGGCCCAATGTGAGGGGCAGCCCCAGGTACTGGACCGGAAAGGAAACCCGTTGACCTGCAAAGGATTCCAGGTATTGATATTTTTCACGTGTCCCACTATATGCATATCTCCATTCCAAATTATAAATCACTAAACTTATTTGGTTCATTCATTTTGCTATATATCTAGACATATTATTATATATAGATATATAACAAAATAAATATACCAAAATAGTTAAAACGACTTATAACTAGTACTCTATATAAAAAAAATACTCAGTCTCAGTACTCTATATATCACCGATCGAGCTGCTAGTGATCACAACCACAACACGACCTTGTACTAAGTATCTAAACAGCCAAACACGCTATACAAGCCGACGGGAAACCAAGCCGAGGATCGGAGCTCCGTCGCCGCCATGGCTCAGGCTGTCGGCAGCGCCGATGCCACCACTGAGGCGCCACTCCTGCTCTCGTCGACGCTGGGGACGCCGCCGCCGCTGCTAGCAGGTGCACGTGCACCCCGCCGGAACAGGTTCGCCTTCGTCTGCGCCACGCTCGCCTCCGTCACCACCATGCTACATGGCTACAGTACGTACGTACGTCGTTGCTGCAAGTTACAGCCATCCATGGAGGCATTTTAGTACATCACGAAGATCGAGATGCTAGCTCATGCATGCTTCCGATCCGTACGTGTTCTGCAGACCTGACGCTCATGAGCGGCGCGGAGCTGTTCATGCGGGAGGACGTGGGGCTAACCGACGCCGAGGTCGAGGTGCTGGCGGGGTCCATGAACGTCTTCATGCTCGCGTCCATCCTCGCCGCCGGCTGGGTGGCCGACCACCTGGGCCGCCGCCGCACCCTCGTGCTCGCCAACGCCTTCTTCATGGCCGGCGCGCTCGCCATGTCGCTGGGCACCAGCTTCGCCGCGCTCATGGCGGCGCGCTTCGTCACCAGCGTCGGCTCCGGGTTCGCCCGCGTCGTCGCCCCCGTGTACAACGCCGAGATATCGCCGCCGTCCACGCGTGGCGTCCTCTCATCTATGCTTGACGTACGTATGCGTTTTGGATACATGCATGCTGGTTGATTCGAAGCTCGCTTTGGTCGTCTTTGTATGTATTAATTAAAGATGAAGACGTGCATCGACGTACATGCAGATGTTCATCAACGTCGGCATCCTGCTCAGCTACGTGTCCAACTACGCGTTCTCCGGCCTGCCGGTGCACCTCGGGTGGCGCGTCATGTACGGGATCGGCGTCATCCCGCCCGTGTTCATCGCCGCCGGGGTGCTCTTCATGCCGGAGTCACCGTGGTGGCTCGCGATGCAGGGCCGACACGGCGACGCGCGCGCGGTGCTCATGCGCACGTCGGATACCCCGGCCGACGCCGACCTCCAGCTCCGGGAGATCAAGCGAGCCGTCGCTGACGCTGAGCCACCACCCGCTGCCGCACGCCACAGCGGCGGTGCTGGTGTCTGGAAGCAGCTCCTCGTCCGGCGGCCATCGACAAGCGTGCGGCGGATCCTCACGTGCGTTCTCGGGCTGCATTTCTTCGTGCAGGCGTCCGGCGTCGACGCCATCCTCCTCTACAGCCCGCTGGTTTTCAAGGCGGTCGGCATGGCGTCCAACTCCGCCATCCTCGGTGCCACCGTGGCCATTGGAGCGGTGAAGACGTGCTTCATCCTCGTGGGCATGCTCTTCACCGACCGCCTCGGCCGGCGCCCGCTCCTCCTCGCCAGCACCGCGGGAGTCGCCACGACGGCCACCGCCCTCGGCGTGACGCTGTACATAGGCACGAGCACGACGTCGTCATCACCGGCGACGGCCGCGGCGTGCCTGGCGTCGGTGCTGGCCGTCGTGGCCACGTACTCGATCGGGTACGGGTCGGTGGTGTCGGCGTACAGCGCGGAGGTCTTGCCGCTGCGGCTCCGCGCACAGGGCTCGAGCCTGGCCATGGCGGTGAACAGGCTCACGTGCGGGGTGGTGAGCATGACGTTCATCTCGCTCGCCGACGGGATCACCATGCCTGGGTGCTTCTTCCTCTACGCTGCGGTGACTGCGGCTGCGTTTGTGTTTGTGTACGTGCGGCTGCCGGAGACCAAGGGCCGGAGCCTAGAGGACATGGAAGTGCTCTTCCACAATTGAGGGCAGCCACATATGGTTTTTGCAATTTCGATCTGTTAATAGTAATGATAGTTTGATCTTGATATCCCATCTGCATTTGATAAATAGTTAAATACCCCCTCTATCTCTAAATATTTGTCGCTATATGGTTTGCGTGCTGGTCAAATTTTCTTAAGTTTGACTAGATTTATAGAAAATATTATCAACATTTGTATCTCCAAATAAATTTATTGTGAAATTAGATTCAATGATCTATCTAATTTTTCAAAAAAAATCTATCTAATAATACTAATTATGTACCATAAATATTAATATATTTTATATAAATTTAGTCAAAGTTGAATACGCTTAACTTTGGCTGAACATGCAAGATGAACATGGATACATTACCTTCATGCATGCATAAAGTGAGGACTAATATAACTCGTTGCATAAAACAAAAGGGCATGTAAACTAATGGTTACAAGAACCTTGGTAGCACCTTAGGTCCTAGAATTTGACTCCCTATGTGAGCGAATATTCTAGAATTTAACGGCGTTGCCTATGGTGTGACCTCATGAATCTCGAGGATTTTTGTTGACCCAGTCTTCAAAAATGCTCATAGGTATAGGGTTTTACTGCGCGTGCATTCATATGGGTGAGTGTGCGTACGTTGTGGATGTCTCAATGTAAATTACAAAAAAAGTTATTTTCAAGGTCTCCTCACGGTTTTATATGAGATCGAAAGGCATATGCCTGTTCGAACAGATACCAGCGAGTCGTGCAATATGAGCTATTAATCAAAACTGCCAAAACACATCACAAAAAATTTGAAGATAAAAACTATAGTTTCTAAACAAAGATTATAAATTAAATTTTGATTTCATTGCTCTGTTCCTTCAAACAGAAGCTCTAAATAAGATCTCACTTAAGTATATTACTAGCAAATTTGCCCGTGCGTTGCTACGGGTCAAAAAAATCATGATATATTTTTAACTGGAGTAGATTTTCTTTATTTATTATTTCACTCAATGCTCGTCGTACCTGTTTTATTAGGGTATTTAGTTATTCCTAGGATATTGTTTTTCATAACTGATCTTAGCGTCATTGTGTGTTATCATAACATAATTGCCATTTAAAGTATTGCAGCTATATGTCTATATTAGTCTTATGATCTCTACATAGTTGTTAAAAACCATGTTGTACCCTTTTTAAAGCAAAAGAATTTAATTGGACATTTATAGGGAGGCTTATAGAAGCGACACAAGAAAAAAAAAACTTCTATTGTGCAGTAATGTAGAGTAGCAAATAGGCATATACTCCCTCCGTCCCAAAATAGATATTATTGTCACTTCTCGAGAAGTCAAACACTTTTAACTTTGACCAAATATATATAAAAAATATTAATATTTATAGTACATAATTAGTATCATTAGGTAGATCGTTGAATATACTTTCATAATAAACTTACTTGGAGATATAAATTTTGCACGTATTTTTATAAATCTAGTCAAAGTTGAAAAAGTTTCACCAATACATATCCCATAACAACCTCTATTTTGGGAGAGATGGAGTACGTTGTAGCAGATGTCAAAAATCTATATATTCGTAAACCAATAAGTATGAACCAACTTAGACTTAGCTGTTTTTTCTCATGTAAATAGACCATAGTAATATCTTGGACTTACTTGAAGTGGTAGAAACAATATGGCAAACTGTAGCCAATTAAACTTTATTAGGACGAACCAGGCCAACTCATCATGAGAAAAGGAACGTGGCCCTGGGCCTAACTGACCAGTTGGGCTGCACATCTGCAATTAATTAATTGAAGACCAATGGCAAACTCCAGCCCATGACAAATCGAACAACCCTCTCGCGGCCGACATCAGCGTGCGTCCGATTTGATTGGACGGTTCAGATTGTGCCCGCACTGAACAAAACTGGCTATCAGCGCTCCTCCAATGAACCCTATCTCACTTTCTAGCTTCTTCAGCCTTTTCTCATGGCAGCGGCGGCGCCGTCAAGTACCCCTCGCCGAAGCACACGTGCAACGTTGTCTTGTTCGTGGCTCGGGTGTTTGGCGACGCGGTGCCCAACCACAAGCTCGGTGTCCTGGCTGGCGGCTAGATGATCCCTCGGCAGGCTCGCCGGCTGCGAGCGTGCCGGTTGGGGGCGCGAGCTGCGAGCGTGCCGGCCGCGGCGGTGAGCCACGAGCGTGCCAGCGCGGGGGCACCGTGAGCCACAGGGAGTCTGGGACGCCGGCCTCGGGGGCAAGCATGCCGGCCTCCGTGGCGAGCGTGCCAGTCGCAAGGACACCGGCCTCGGTGGCGAGCGCGCCGGCCGCGGGGATGCTGTCTAGGGGCGAGCGCGCCGGCCGCGAGGACGCCGTTCCGTGCTGGAAGTGCCGCCTCTCCCCGCCCGACGGTGCTGCCTTGCCTCAGCGCCTCCCCGCGCGTACGCCGGGCGCCGGCCTCACTCGAGCTGTCGTCGTCTTCCCGCCCCGCGTCGCCGTGGCGTCGTCTTCCTGCCTCGCCCACGCCGCCCTCTCCCCATCCCGCGCCATGGCCGTCAGTCGCCGTGCACGCTCTCCGTCCAGTGCCCGGCGATTTGGCTCATGGAATCCGTGTTTGATTTTGGTTATATATGAGCTTGTAAGTTGAGGTGATTTCTGTTTGGAAAAAGAGCTCGACTATCTAACACCGGGGGTTTTAGCACCAGGTAAAATCTAAATTTTTTCCGTATATGAGCTTGTAAGTTGAGGTGATTTCTGTTTGGAAAAAGAGCTCGACTATCTAAGGTCATTCCTAGAAATTTTCACCCTAAATAGTCACATCAAATCTTGCGGCAGATACACGGAGTACTAAATGTAGACGAAAAAAAAACTAATTATATAATTGGGTGAGAAATTGCGAGACGAAACTTTCGAACCTAATTAGTCCATAATTAGACACTAATTGTCAAATACAAACAAAAGTGCTACAGTAGCCAAAACCAAAAATTCACGCCAACTAAACGCGCCCTAACACCGGGTGTTTTAGCACCAGGTAAAATCTAAATTTTTTTCGTATAGATACTATTCATCTTCCTCCTCTCTCTCTTTCTTCCGGGCACAAATCACACGTAACAAATCACAAATCATAAGTAACAATTTTTTTTATGAAAGGACAGAGACAAATTTGGTGACGGCGTTGAAGTTGGAGAAGAAGCTCGCCGGACTTGAGGAAGATGCTGGGGGCGACGGCGGCGCGGGGACGGGCGAGCACGACGGCGGCGGCGCAGGGATGGGCGGGCGCAGGCACGGCGGCGCCTGGCAAAAAGAATTCATGTGCCACCGGGTGATAAAACACTCAGTCGTTGTATAGCATTTCTGTTGGAAAAAATAGCGAATCTCTTTCTCAATTCGATTTGCAGTTCGTTTTGACTTGATTTGGAGTTCTTACGCCTATTTCTTTTTCCTTCTTTGTTTCTGTTGTATATCTTCCGAACATACTGTACCTGAACTCGAGTTTCTTTTCTTCCCTGTCTCTGTTGCGTCCGATTTTTGTTCGATTCAGATTCAGAAGCAGTTTTTTACCCGATCTCCACCGTCATGTAAGAAGCTAGGGAGGCCGGGCAAAAAAAAAATCCAGACTAAAAAATTAGGTTGAAATTTTGCCTTACGTAGAGAGATGTTTTCTCGATCTGTCACACTCTCTCGTACGAGTTATAGTAGCATGCTAATAGGCATGGTATGGAGTCATATTCCAAGATGAATTGGCACGCATAAACGATCTGCAAATCAGAGTACGATTACAAGAGGAATCGGATCAGAATGCAAGACACAATCACTACATAAATCCTCAATCCTCCTATACCCACACGAGTTAGAGTATGTGCATTCAACCATGGTATGTAGTTTATAATTCCAAAATGAATGAGAACACCACAACATGGTCGTCGATCACTTTAGGTACTTGCTACCGAACTGTGTCCCACGCTCGTCGCCGCCAGCCATGCTCTAGCTAGCCCAAGCACCACTATAAGCGCTTGTGCCCGAGCCGCTAGATCGATCCATTGGTGTTTCCACCTACCCACTGAGGGCCACCATAGGGGTTCATTGGAAACCTAGCCGCATCACCAGCCATAAGAGATTGAGAGAGCTTGTGCAAACAGTGGGGAGATGGAGACGATGGTCCTTGGAATCCGTCTTTTTCAGCTTATTTTTTTAGTCGAAACAATGTTTTTTTCTCACAATAAATTGGCCGAAACAATGTTTCGGCTGGTTTTTTCAGCGAAACGAACGGGGTCAATGCGTCATATCTCTCAAATGTGTCTAGGCCAAAAAGTGGCGGTGGCATCTACGCTTTGTTTCACGAACCTAAGGGGCACGGGAGCCACTTAAAGCTGGCTCTGGCTCAAGCTCCGTGCGACTTTTGGCCTGAAGCCGTTTCTCCTTGCAACGGTTGGTAGCGCTTCTTTTGATGCGGGAGCATAAGTCTAAGGTTGTTTGTTGTTTCTCCTTTAACTATCGGTGCGACTTCTTTAGAAGAGAAGCCCATTTTAAAGCCTTACCAAATGAGATCTTACATTTCCTTGATGCTCAAGTATATACATGCATAAGATGGAAAAACTAGGGTTTTGCACCAAAATTGCTTATCTGTCATTAATCTTGTGCACCCCTCACGGTCCCACATTAAAAGTCTCATGATCTTTTGCGTGCGTGTAGCCGGGCCTCACGTAGCTCTAACTACTACACACCAAAGTCATTTGTGACTAAGTAGACGGTATGTTTCTTTTGTATTAACTTTTATAGATATTGTAATGAATGTTTTAGGCCCTAAATGAATTTAAATGAAAAAGTCGTTAACTACAAAATTATAGATCCCATCAAGATCTATAATTTTTGTTTTTGTCGTTTTTCCATCTAAGTTCATTTGAATAATTCAAAATTTTGAATTTCAAAATATCAAAACTTTAAACAGAATTTAGGTCCAATTTCAAATAAAATGATAATCAACTACAAAGTTATAGATCTCATCAAGAACGACGAACTTTGATCTACAACTTTAACCCAAACAAATATAAAAACATTTTTAATATATTTTTATTAAAATCATGCTCTCTATTTTCTAAAATCATGCTCTATATTATGGTGCCTAGCCTAGAAGAAACATAGAAAAATATGGAACCAACTATTTTCTAAGTGAAAACAAATTTTCTAAGGTTAAATTAGATTATAGTATTTTTAAATGTATTTTTTCTTAGAAAAATAATTGGATAATTTTCTAAAAAATTATTTGTATAATGTTTTAATAAAGTTTAATTGACTTTTCTAAACTACTGTGAAAATCCGATTTATCTCCTTCGTGGATGACATAACGCCATTATCAACTAAAACCCTTTTCGAAACCACTCAGTACCGTAAATCGAATGGTTTCAAAAATTGAGGGAGTCCAAGGGGGTGTTTGGGACTGCTCCATAAACTTTGCTCCATAAATTCTACTGTGGAGCAGCTCCACAAAAAACCTAAAGTTTACAAAGCACCCTTTAGGTGCTCTCACAATTCTGTCTTTTTTCCTAAGCAGATTTGCTTGAAAGATGAACCTGTTTAGCAAAAAAAAATATGGAGCAAAGCTGAAAAAAATACCCCTAAAAAATTGGTTTGTAGTTGAAGGTGGCCAGGTGGGCAAATTGGACTTACATACACAATAGTTGATGAAAGAGGTGAGATGCATCCTTGTTCTTCACAAGACCTGTAGCGCAAGGTACTTGGGCCTGTTTAGAATGAAGGAATAGAAAATATAGGAATGGGAAAAAACAAAAGAATATGATGGATGTGTAGTGATAAAACAGAGAAAAGAAAAACATAGAAAATGAGTAGACAATGGTGTTTGGAACACATGAATTCATAACACTAGAATTACAGGACATCAACATGTGAATGATAAATGACCAGTATTAGTGCTTAATGAAATGATAATATGTTAATTGCACATTTTATCTATGACCATCTTGTACGTGGGGCCATTGGATGGACCTAGTTCATGCAACTGGGAGGTAAATAAAAATACTAAAATAATCTCATCCGTTCATTGCTTCCCCCATGCGTTTCTCTCTCTCCTCTTTTCCAGAGGCACCTCCTTACTGACTGGAGGCGCGTCTGTGGTTGTGGCATGCGGGACGCATGGCATAAGCGAAGCGGCAGCTGACTGAAGCGCAGCGAAGCATGGAACACAGTGGCGTGGCGTGGCGTGGTGGCCGGACGTGGAGAGGCCGAGCAGATGCGGCGCCTAATGCTTCCATGCACATGGTGATTAGGTGTTCATTTCTCTCTTCCTCGTGTGAGTTTCCTCGGGCAAGCACGAAGGAAATGAAAACCAGAGATCTGAGTGGATTCTTTTTTTCCTGCAAAACAAGCATTTGCCTGCAGGATTCCAGAGGAAAGGAATTGGGATTTTCTTTGTTCCAAACGCGCATTCTCACTTCCTTTCCTCCGTTTTGCAATTCCGATACTTTTCCTTTGATATTTCTGCAATCTAAACGGGCCTTAAAAAGAATTACACGGGTTGAGCCCGAATCCATTCGGCCCAACGATGTGCGTATTCGGCCTGTTTGTCGCGAGCTAGCTCGAGGCCGTGTGCGTGGTGAGCCCAACTGAGACTAAGAGTCTATTTGATTCACCTAGTAGCTTCTAAATTTAGTAGCTTTTAGTCGTTTTAGTAACTTTTTTACCAAACACTATGACTAAGGCCCCGTTTGATAGGGTTTCTCTAGCGGCTTCAGGAGCCGCTTGGAGCTGTTTTCTGCCAAACGGGGTAAAATAAAACGGCTCCACCGATGAAGCCCCTAAAAACGTGCTCTTACAGAACTTTGGTGTGGAAAGGAGCCAAAAATAGTGGCTTCTCTCGGCTTCACCTCATTTTACATGGCGTTCTCTGAGATCATATTTTAAGAAAAACTATATGTGAAGCTGTTTTGTCAAACGATTTATCAAAACGGCTACAGCTCCACCCATAGAGCTGTTCTTAGAGCTGAAACCCCAAAAGAAAGCTTCATAAATGAAGTAGAACCATGCCAAACAAGACTTAAATATAACCAAAAGAGTTTTAGTCGTCTATAGCAACTCTAGACCAAACCAAACATGCCCTAACAACATCCCGTTCCTTCCTCTTGATTCGAAAGCCTTATCCCGTTGCTGGACTCTCACACCGCCGCATCCGTTCACCTGGCTTCACCCCGCCTCACATGTCTCTCTGCCACGACTGGGTGGGGCGGTGGGCTACCGCTGCCGCCGCCCAACGCCAAGTGCCGAGTCCTTCGTCGGTCTATTCACCGGCGATGAGCACCCACCAGGTATTCCCACCCCTTCTCTTCCCTTCCTTCCGGCTGCCGTGCGAAACCGAGCACCCAAACCTTAACTCAGAGTTATTTGCTAGTATTTGATGTCTATTAACTTCCAACTTTTGGCAAAATTATCGACTGTAGATGTGTACATCCATGTCCCTTTACTGGGTCCGCCCCTGAATGGTGGGACAGAAATTTGTTGCAGCTCTTGATTACAGTATTTTGCATAAAATTAGAAATGAAACAATGACTATCTTTGGGCTTATTTTATTTTATTTTGGGACCAGTACTTTATTCAGAGGATAAGTTCATCATGAAAGAGAATTTGACTATGTTGTAGGGATGGTTGCTACAATCTGGGCATAGCGTTGATATCAGTGGTTCAAAGATGGTTCTCCATATAACCCACAGGGCGTTCAGTTTTCGATGCTTTGCTGCCAATGGGCGTGGCTTTGGTGCAGATTCTACTAACAAGAGAAAAGTAGGTAGCCTCAATGCTCTATTTCCCTCCCTACTTCCTTCCATCTACAGCATACTGCATGTTTCTCAAGCACTAGTGTTAGCAAAGAAGGAAATCAAATCATCTTCAAAAGATACTACATATTCCTAATTATGTTAAATTCTGCAATGAAGTTGTGCATCTTGTTCAGTGATTAGGAAAGCCAGTTTGCACTATATCTGAAGAAATTGGAGTCACTGATGGCCTATTATGCCTTTGCTTTTCTCCCAGATTAAAAGCAAGAAGAGGCCAAAAGATGTTGCACTTGAACCAAGGTGCTCACCTTGAGCATTGTATTATTATAGGTTTTATCCTCTTCGCACTAGAAACAAAGTATATTCTTATCAGGAACTTTTTGTGATTGGCATTTTTTTTAATAAATGGTGTCTCTTATATTTTTCAACAGTTATAGTTGATTTCAAAGTACAAACTTGTCACGGAAGCTACTCAGATCCTAGAATCACATCCTAACAGTAAACTTTTATGCAAAGTCCAGCCTTGTTTGTCATTACTCGGTGATCCAGTGTAAGAACATTTGAATAGAGCTGCTCCTGCTGATTTTTTTTCTCCTTTTTTTGGTTATTAATTACTACATAGAGTCAAATTGGGGGAAAAAAGAGAAGGAATTATACTAAAGGGAAATTTAGCTATGCAGTTCCAACATTTTGATCAGTATGTGTCTAAACATTTATGTTTACTATAAAAGCTGATTATTAGTACTAAAATTAATATATGTAAACTCTGTGCATACTATGAGGGAGAAAAGAATTTCTGACTTGGTTTTACCATTGGTAACTCCAATGGGCAAGTGAGTAACTCCTGAAACATTAAGGGCTAACTAGCCTTTTAGAGTATTTGTTTCATAGGATGTGTACAAACAGCTTAGAATGCACAATACTGCTTGGTACTGTAGCACGTCATATAGCAGCAACACACGAGTTAAGGTTTAATTCCAACCTAAGTTGTTATCAAGATAGAAGAAAATATGTAATTATATGTGCTATAATATGAATTAGGGGTAATATTTTGTGTTTGTCATAAAATAGATATAAGACAAGATTTTAATTGTAGGGCTACCTCCAATATGAAGTTGGCAACGACTTGTTTTCAGATTAGTGATGAAGATTTATATAAATTTAATTTCCCATCTCAATTTGTTTCTCCCATTTATAGTCACCTCATCTCCTACCAGTCGAATCTACTGGCAGTCCTCTTGGTGGTGTTTGTCCCGTGATGATCTTCGAATCATAACATCATCACCCTGGATTTTGGATTTTCAGAGTCTGACACCCTTTAATTTAATTCCTATGATATTAAATTATTCCATTCCCTTCTGTTCCTTTTTGTTAATCCAATAATTAATTAACTAAACTCTCTGGATTGAGAAAAGAATCCAAAGATGCTAAGCAAGTCCAATAAGCCATAGGTAAGTAGGTCAAAAAAGCCATATGTAGAAGAGTGTTGCAGATGGTAATGCTGGCTTCTCTGTTTGTTCTTCTTGGCCATATAAGTTCCTCCCATTTCCTCATTCTCTCTGTATGCAATCTTTTTTGGCCCACGTTCTAAACCTTAAACTCTATTTCTTCTTAATGAAAAGATACACAGATGTCCTGCTTATTGTTGAAAGGAAAGTAAGCAATAAATGAGACGGGTAAAATCAGTTGATAATGTGATACATAAGTGAACCATGCATCTAAATCTGAAATTTTTAATTTGTTCATTTGTTTAATGGTGTTACTTATTTCCTTTTTTATGGCTAGAATCTGTTGCTCAAAGCTTCCAACTAAGGATTTTAGCAGCTCTTGATGAAATCTGTTTGTTCAAAGCGTCGAACCAAGGGTGTGACCTGCTGTAAATAGCTCATACTTATTTTAGGACTTTAAAGCAGTACTATGTTGTTTCATACATATCTTTGTTTCTTTAGTCATCAATTTTTTTTCTTCTTTTGATGTAGTGAGGTAATATCTGGAAATCCAAAGAACAGGGACCAATGTAAGTTGGCTTCAATTTTTAGTTAACTGCAATTACTGTTACACCTATCTCTTGCAAAAAGAATACTGTTGCACTCCTGCATGTTCTGTGTGCATTATCCTCATGATGACCAAAGTATTTTGTGTTCCCTGAAATTGCTAAATACTTGATCAATGGCTAAAGTTCATTTAGGCTCTAGCCTATCCATGAAAAACTTATCTGTCTAATCTAGAAATAGTACAATTGTTGATTGACTCACTTTAATGGTTGCCCTACTATTTTATGTTTTTTGTTCATTGTGGAACTCTGTTTTTCTATTAACCTGTAAGTCGAACCACTGAGATGTAAAAACCAATTATCTGGATTGATAACCCATTCTTTTGTTTGTCTTACATGAATAGTGACTAGAATCGTTGCTAGTGTTCTGATATAGTTGTATCTCATTGACTTAGGTTTGGTATTCTTGAATTTCTGCTTTTAGCTTTGATATTTGGTATATATGTCATTATTTTGTTACCTTGCCTTCTCTTCTCTTTACATAAAACTTAACTTTAGTTTTACCAGCTGCATATCTCAATACTTGTTCATTCATTGTTTTTAGGGGTGCCAGAATTAAGAACTGGAAGTGAAAACAAATCTGGTAAACAAGTCATGGATAAGAAATTTTTGGAAAAAGTGGAAGCAGTTCGAAGGTACTGTCATATTTCCTCTATCATCCTGCTTCATTTAGTTAAAAATAACTTCTGTTTTTGTAGGATTAAGTTTATTTGTTCTTTCTGTTGTTGGATATATAAGTAGAAATGTTGCTGATTCTTGACAATTTATAGATGGTACATAGAATGCTTTGTTAATGTAAGTGGAAATGTTTCTGCTTACTGACCAATTATAAATAGGACTCAGAATGCATGGCTAATTTATTACAAAATATGAAATAATTGTGTGAGGCGTTTGGCTGAGCATTCCATTTTAGCCTTTACCTTGGCATGCTGTGTTCTTGAATTTCTGACCTTTGTTTTGTCAAGGACTAGCCTACACCTGATCCAGTTCTGCATAGACATCCATATGGTTAATGTCCACTTTGTATCTTTGAGATTATTGTTAGAATTTCTTCAGCTTTGCTTACTTATTCAGAAACATTCCTTACATGAAGGCATGTATCAATCAGTGCAATTTGGATAATATTTCATAATTTGCACCATTATTGCTAGCTCTTGATAATAGATACACTCCTATTTACTATATAGGCTCTGAAAAATATATATATTATTTGGTATATTCCTTGTGAATACTTCTACTTAAGCATTTCTTGTTGCTCTCAACTCTGTTGCTTCTGTTCTGTTTAGGTCTGCTCTTGAGAAAAAGAAAGCTGAAGAGAACAAAGATTATCAAGCTATTGATTATGATGCTCCAATTGAGTCAGATAAAAGTACAATTGGCTTTGGTACTAGGGTCAGTTTTATTTTATGGACTTTCTCATGTTTTCCATGGTAAATTAGTAATTGATCTTCAGGTCATATACTTATCAGAATTCTCTCAGTAGGTTGGAATTGGCGTTGCTGTTGTTGTCTTTGGACTAGTCTTCGCTTTTGGGGATTTCCTTCCTTACAGAAGGTGAATCTACATCTACCACACAAATGGGCCACCAATAGTCCGTTCTTCATTACATTCTATCCATAGTGTTTGCATTTTATATTATTTATTTTAAAATGATTTTCACTTGCCAAGATAGTGCAATGCATTATATAACTGTTACAACCAAGAAGTGTTCTGTCCTTGTCAAATGTCCTGGTAGCATGCAGAATAATGAAAGAGCAGGCAAAACAGGAATTTTTTTTTTCAAAATTGCAATTGAAGTCAAATTTTGAAAGTTGAAAATTGAAGTCATTGATAAAAAATTCCAGGCTCAGTTAGAATGTTTTATGTTCTCTGTTAAAACTACATTTTCTTGAAAGAAAAGGGCAGGGGCTCTGCCATTCAATTTGGAAAGGAAGCAAAGAGAGTTGTGTGCAGGGTCGCAGGGAGCACCACAGCCACCCACAGGTTGCCCTCAACAGAGCACTGGAACATAAAAAATGCAGAGTTGCAGACACACAAAAACAGCCCCTCAGGGAAATAAAACAACACCAAAATAGTGGGAACTCAAGTGAAAAATAATGCTTCTTATTTAGTTCTTTAGGAAAGCAGACTATATTTTTTTAATAAAAACATCAAAACTGGAAGACTTGTATGAGGACTGAAAAGGGGAAGAGCATTCTCTCCTAAGGCAACCATCAGATAACTGTAGAAATGGAATAGATACACTTATGAATATTTTTCTTGTGCTTGTTGTGACTACATTGTACCTCCTACACTTCCTTTTTCAGTGTTAGCCCTAGCAAAGAAAGTGCAGTAGTTAAACAAAAGCTTTCTCAAGAGGAAGAAGAAAAGTTTAAGGTAACCATTTCTCCCAATTTTGTATGTTTCGTTTGTTTACTTGCATGTGAAAAAAGAAATGAATTAATTAAAAGGTAATATCCATTGATAGACAATATTTCAATGAAAATGGAATATACATTTTTGTATCAGCTATTCACCTGCACCGTAACATTATTCAGGCAAGAATTTGCAGCGAAGAAAATATTTAAACTCTAAATGGCACGTAGCCGAGTATCAAACAAGAAGAATAGCTTGGCTCTAGGGTTATTTAAAAGTGGCCACACCTTAAGTACTCAGGTATTGCACAAGTTCTGAATGTGCAATACTGGTATGATTGTTTTCGAATTGAAGGGCCAAAGAATTGTATTCATTTGCATTCATTTTTGCTAATTTGTTATCATACTAAGATATCATCAGTTCTTTTTTATTAGAATGCACTGCAAGGCTTTCAAGCAACACTGAGCAAGTCGCCTAATGATCCTACCGCTCTTGAGGTGAAGTGCTATTCGACATATCAAATTCGTACTGAAGTTTCTTATGTGCTGGTGCATGTGCACAAAAGTTTCTTAACTGTGTCTATGGATGCTCAATTTTAGATTAGTGGTGTCAATGGGGAACTCCGCCTATGGTGGGGCGTCTTTGGTGTCCCAGCATAGCAGGTCCCAAGTCCTAGTAAAGGAGGAGGGTTGTATTAGGCGCGGCGAGCCAATGTAAAAACTTAGCCACTTTAATGGAGATGAAACCCAAAAGAATCCCGTTGGTGCGTAACCCTCTTAGCGACGCGACATGTCGGAACCCGGGTATGGTGTTAAATGAGCAAGGGCCAGGTCGTCACCCCCGTGACGCGCCGTGTCGCGATCTGGACACGGTGTCAAGTGAGCAAGGATCGTGTCTCGCATCCTTAGTGGCGCGCCACATCGGCGCCCGGGTGTGGTGCAAAATGAGCAAGGGTCTTCACACCTACCTCGGCGGGTGCGAAGGGTAAGGAAGCTAGTCGAGCCAACTAGGATCCGTTTAGGTAGCTGAAATGTAGGGTCCCTTACAGGTAAGTTAAGATAGTTAGTGGACACAGCGGTTAGGAGGCGTGTAAATATCTTATGCGTCCAAGAGACTAAATGAAAGGGGCAGAAGGCGAAGGAGGTGGACAATACCAGCTTCAAGCTCTAGTACACAGGGACAACTTCAAATAAAAATGGAGTAGGAGTTTTGATCGATAAGAGCCTCAAGGATGGTGTGGTGGAGGTGAGAAGGCAAGGGGATAGGATCATCTTAGTTAAACTTGTCATCAGTTATATGGTCTTAAACGTAATTAGTGCGTATGACCCCAAGTAGGTCATGATGAGATAGGTCATGATGAGAGTGCTAAGCGGCTTTTCTTGGAAGACTTAGATCGTTTGGTTAGAGCTGTCCCTAGTAGCGAGAAGCTCTTTATAGGAGGTGATCTTAATGGCCATGTAGGTACATCAAGTGCAGGTTTCGAGGCGGTTCATGGGGGTTTCGGATATGGTAGTAGGAACCAGGAGGGAGAGGAAGTCTTAGACTTCGCCATAGCTTTTGATCTGATGATAGCTAACACTTTCTTCTGTAAGAGACAGTCCCATTTAGTGACCTGGAGAATGTGTGGTCGCTCAACACAAGCTGGTGGTGGCTGACTTCCGCTTTCTGGTGCAAGCTCGTGGGAACAAACAAGCTAGGGTTGCTAGAACGAAGTGGTGGAAATTAGAAGGGGAGGCATCAAAGGTCTTTAAGGAAAATGTCATTGAAGAGGGCCCTTGGAATGATGAAGGCGATGCAAACAGCATGTGGGAGAAGATGGCAACATGCGTTCGGAAGGTTGCTTTAGATGTGCTTGTAGTGACCAAAGGGAGCGGATGCGACTCGAAAGACACTTGGTGGTGGAATGAAGATGTGTAAAAGGCTATTAAGGAAAAGTAGGAGTGCTATAAGCGCTTGTATCATGACAGGTGTGCAAACAACATAGAGAAATACAAGGTGGCAAAGAAGACTGCAAAACGAGCGGTGAGGCAAAGGGGCGGGCCTATGAGGACCTTTACCGACGTTTGAGTACGAAGGAAGGAGAGAAGGACATTTATAGGGTGGCTAGGGCTCGCAATAGGAAGACAATGGACTTCAACTAAGTCAAGTGCATAAAGGATGAGAGGGAGCAGCTCTTGGTGAAGGAGGATGAGATCAGACATAGATGGCAAGAGTATTTTGATAAATTGTTCAATGGTGAGAACGGGAACACCACCGTTCAGCTAAACGACTCGTTTGATGACACTAATAGGCGCTTTGTGCGGAGGATTCAAGAATCGGAGGTCAGGGAAGCGTTGAAAAGGATGAAAGGGAGCAAAGCGATGGGCCCTGATGGTATCCAATCAAGGTGTGGAGATGTCTCGGGGATATAGCTATAGTATGGCTAACCAAGATGTTCAACAATATCTTTCGATCGAACAAGATGTCTGAGGAGTGGAGAAAAAGCATATTGGTACCAATTTACAAGAACAAAGGAGATATCCAAAGTTGTACTAATTATTGGAGAATTAAGTTGATGAGCCACACTATGAAGTTATGGGAGGGAGTCATCGAGCAACGCCTGCGAGGAACGACGCAGATATCAACAAACCAATTTGGTTTCATGCTCGGAAGGTCAACCACAAAAGCAATCTTCTTAGTAAGACGGGTTATGGAGCGGTTTAGAGAGCAGAAGAATGACCTCCACTTGGTTTTCATTGACTTGGAGAAGGCTTATGACAAGATACCAAGAAATATTATGTGGTGGTCTTTGGACAAACATAAAGTCCCATCAAAGTATGTGACCCTCATTAAGGACATATACAATAATGTTGTGACTAGTGTTCGAACAAACAATGGTAACACAAATTACTTTCCGATTAAAATTGGACTTCATCAAGGGTCAGCCTTAAGCCTGTATCTCTTTGCTTTGGTAATGGATGAGGTTACCAGGAACATACAAGGGGATATCCCTTGGTGTATGTTGTTTCTGATGATGTAGTGTTAGTGGACAAAAGCTAGACGGAAGTAAATAGGAAATTAGAGTTATGGCGGCAGACCCTTGAGTCTAAAGGTTTTAGATCATTGTTTTTGAGGCGCTGCGGCGACACGCGGCGCCCTACCCCCTTCACAACGCCTAGGCGTTTATGGCGGACGCCTAGGCGACGCCATACGATCATCTTAATATATAATGATACTAAAATTCAGAAACAAATCATACCTTAATATTGCCAAGTCTTAGCATGTAATACCATAATAAATAATGCTACCAGAGTGCTAGTGCACAACGTAAAGTACCAAAATAGCAAATCTGAAATCTCTCATCACTCAATAGCCACAAATTAGTCTCTAATAACATAATATAACTTAATGACTAGTCTTTGCAGGAAAGAAAGCAGAGGAAAGAAAGCAGAGGAAGAGGGAAAGAAACAGAGGAAGAGAAAGAAAGCAGAGGAAGAGAAAGAACAGAGAGGAGAGGAGGAAGGGAAGGGCTGCAGAGGAGACCAAAGAGGAGGCGAGGGAGCATCTGAGGCGGACGGGTAGGCGGTCGGCCGAGGAGGAGGCGGCAAAAGACGGACAGGGGCAGGCTGCTGCAGTGCGGTCGCGGACGGACCCTGGTGGACTCGAGCTGCCAGGAGGAGATCAGAGGCGGACTCGCGGGAGGCGCGCGTGGCCGTGAGACTCGAGCAAGGAGGCGGCAAGCCTCCGCCTCGCGCCTCTGCCGCCAAGAAGCAGGGCCACCGCCGCCACCTCTTTTCCTCCTCTCTCCATGAAGCTGCAACGGCCCGCACCTGTGGTAAAAGCCCTCGAGCGGGAGGTTTGTCGCGCAACAACATATATGTGGTCGATTCGCGCCTTTTCCTTCTAGCGTGGATGCGCGCGCGGTCGATTCCGCTTGATTTTCATTCGTCCCGCTCGATTCCTCGCCTGATTCCGTCTTCCTCTCGAGTTGTTGCTCGGCGTCCGCCACAGGCCTCTAGGCGCCGCCCGACGCCTTTCCACGCCTAATCGACGCCTAATCTCATATGGTCGATGGGCACGCGACGCATGCCGTGGCGACCCGACGCCTAGCACCCTGGGCACGCCTTGTCGCCTAGGCGACGCCTCAAAAAACAATGTTTTAGATTGAGCGAGAACTAAAACCGAAATACATGAGAGGAGATGTGAGTTTGGAAGGTTTGATGGAGTTATCTGAGGAGGGGAGGATGCGACGTTAGAGGTGGATCAAGTGGCAGATGTGAGTTTGGAAGGTCAAGTAGTTCTATAAGAAGGATACCTATGTTGTATGAAGCGAGAATGTTGGCCTACAAAGATTCGACATGTTTTAGGTAAATGCGGGATCGATAGATTTGCGGTCACACAGGATGTAGAGTTATTGATACGTGACGCCTAGACGTTAGCAATTGAAGAATCAAAGGTTTGACCATGGTGGATCTAATAAATGATGAGAGGTGCGAAATTGACATGGGGAGGCAATAAAAAGAGATTTGAAAGCTTGGGATATACCTAGAGATCTATGTTTGAATAGGAGTACTTGGAAAGCAGCTATTGAAGTCCCTGAACCGTGACTTGGGGCTCTTGGTAGGTTTTAACTCTAGCCTACCCTAACTTGCTTGGGACTGAAAGGCTATGTTGTTGGTGGTGGTGTAAATGGGGAAAAAGTGTTTAGAGGATTGTTTGTGGTACACCTTGGAACAACCTTTTGATCTAAACTTTTTGATTGGGAGTTTTTTTTTCGTTGTACATTTAGGAGAGCTGCATATCTTTAATATTGACAAAAGAGAGGCGGGGGGGGGGGTGTTGTTGGTAAAGAAACCCTTACAACACACCTACACCACACACGATTGGAAGTGCACTATTTTCTAATCTTGCCTGAAAATGAAGTTGTTTTGATAATATCCTTCAAATATATTTGTAGCCTCTAATTGATACACAGTTTTAATAGCCCTTAGGGTGTGAACAGAACACAATTCCTCTGTTATTCGTTCATGTTCAGGGTGGATTCTCTTTTCAAAGAACTGTTAATTTGGAGTCAGTGAAAGACACCAGGTTAAAGTACAGCATGACCACAAGTAGCAGCTGGGAATTGGGATCCCGGGAAAGTGTTCTTATCAATCAGGACTGCAGATTTCACCACCTTCATAACAAGAAACTACATTTCACAATTCACAACTTCATATCAATGCCGACAGAAAACCTTCGAAAACAGCCTCTAGCTCCATTTTGACATAAACATAAGCACTATGGGCGTGATTGGTTGGTTGTATTCGTTCCATCCAGGCCCATCAGATGCAAGCATCGCATGATTGGTTGGGTGCGCCAGCATTCTAGTCAGGCTGACCCTGTGCAAAAGGAGCCACGGGCCTGGCTCTCCATGTGAGATTTTTCCTTGTTCCCATGGAGCCTGGCTGGGGTGGTGCCAGTGCACGCGGGAGGCCAAAATTACTCTTGCGCTTGTGCATCCTGGGAACCAAACAACAGCCCTGCTGGACCAAGCTGACAGAACATGAGAAACCAAACAGACCCTCCTCACATGTGCCCAGCATGGCTGCTAGGGGCCTGGTTGGCTCGCGCATCCTGGTTGCGTTCGGAAGTCAACCCATCGCCCCCTATATGGATGGAAACAATAATGCTGATGCTTTTGAAGGGGCAAGGCTGAGGGGAATGCCAAGAGCAATGTGAGGAAAAGCATCGGGGTGAACAGTTGAGCATGACTTGTTGCTCAGAAACAGTTTATAGTTTCGACCTTTCAGAGACCATAATTGATACTCTGCTAAGGGCCTAGTTCCCAAGGTCGAAAGTAGCTATTGGACCATCTGACATCTAGATGCGGGATTCCCATTAAGAGCAACGTAGGTGCACAGGTGGCTTGGGTGGTATTTAGAGCACTGTTATACACATGTTTGTTTCTCTGGTTGGTATTAGTATGTAGGAAATGAAATTTTTTGGAAGACAACATGCATTTGAATGGATTTTGATCACATCCATTTAGATACTCCAATTTTCATGAAATGTTTTTTATTTAATTTCTACTCTTTTTGTTTCATACTATGCATATTCAGTTTTCATATGGCCACACAGGGTGCAGCAGTATCGTTGGTTGAACTAGGTGAGTATGAGAAGGCATCAACGTTCCTTGAGAAGCTAATTAAGGTGTGCTAATTGTTCGCTCCTTGTTATCATTTAGGCCTTGTTTGGATGCATGTGTATCCACTTCAATCCACATGTGTTGGAGTGGATTGGAATGGAACTTAGTTTAATTCCACTCCAATCCACTTCAAGACATGTGGATTGAAATGAATACATGCGCATCCAAACAAGGCCTCAAATGGTCTGTCAATCTTATGGAATTATTGTCCTGTACATATACATATTCAACTTGATGCAGGTAATCCCTGATAAAGCAGAAGCATACCGTTTGCTTGGTGAAGTAAAGTTTGAGCTCAAGGATTATGAAGGGAGTTCATCATCATACAGAAGCGCTTTATCTGTAAGTAAATCTGTATGCGCTTCTATGTTTTGCACTCTATCTTGTGTTGCAACTGCACTACTTCCTGTTCAATAGCACTTTGAGCTATTCGCAGACTAACAATTGAAACAGTCATCAGATAATATTGATTTTGAAGTTCTCCGTGGGCTGACAAATTCGTTACTTGCTGCTAAGAAGCCAGATCAGGTGTGTAAAGCTCTATTGAACATCGTAATAGCACTTTGATTTTCGCCTTCTGGGATAGTAATTAGTGTTACTAACATTGGGTATTATGCAAGCTGGTAATTACTCATTAGTTCTGATGACAATACATAGAGTCCATCACTCTATTGGCAATGTGGTGTGGGCCTATAATGTATACTGTCCTTGATACAGTCATAATTATAGATTGATTAATGCTATTAACAATATTTGGTTAAGCCACGACTTGACCTTTTGTAGCATTAATACAATCTGCCTTATCTGTGGGCGGATCATCTGATCATTAGTTTTGTGGGAAGCTCGACCAAAACCCCTGAAGGCAGTATTCATGGAAACTATCCGTTCCTGATAATTCTGACTGTCAAGTGTGATATTGATAGCAATTGCATTGGGCTGTGACATTGAAGAGAAACAGGGAGAGATAACAGCAAATACCAGTAACTGGAGAGCACCAGAGACCTTCCAGCAATGACCTTGTGCCTCCAGCAGCACTGACCTCCAATCCTCCATTCGCCTTCACCATTCACCAAGCATGAACCGAAGCAGGATGAAGGGCTGCAGGGGTACGTCATGGTACATGACGGCCATGCGAGCCAATTCCATATGACAGAGATGATTCCATTATGGGTGGATAAGTGACTGAGGTTGAGCTCAGCTTCACGGTGGGAGACAGCAGAAGTTGAAGACAATCCTGGGGCATGACAGCAAACTGAGCAATAGGCGGATAGCGGGGAGGAGCCGATCTGATGAGATCCACGCAATGGAAAATCGGCTGCAACACCGTCCTGTTTAATCATGGCTAGCCGCGAATAAGAGGGGCTGGGAGCGCAACGCTGGCCTGATTTGCTGCGAGCCACATGACAGATGATGGCTGCAATGGCAGCCTGATGGTGTGAGTGGGTTCAGTGGGTGGGCTAAAAAGATTGGTTAGGTTTAACCTTAAACCACATCCATGGCTTTGATACCATATTAGTGTTACTAACCTTGGGGATTAATGAAGATTATCAGTCCATTAGTGTTGATGACAACATATAGAGTCCACCATGAACCGTATGGGCTTGGATATTCCTAACAATTAGTTGATCGTATTTTTCAAAGCATTGACATGGAAATCTCTCAATAGTTACTAGTGAGTAAATAACTAGGCCTAAACAAAATATGATGACATGTCTTCATGGATTCCTTATCCTTACGTTAATAATGGACAAAGTCCACTTTTTGACTTGGATATGGCTTCATGTTATATTTACGTTCCTTAGTAATCGAAAACGAGCAAATAATCCTCTCTTGGCTCCAATGCAATAGGATCTCATCATGTGAGTTTTGCTACCATTACAACTATCACAGATTGGAGAACTGCCATTACTATTCGTGTATTTGGAAAACTGCCATTACAATTCGTTGTGTACTTGAGCCTCACTTTGTACACTTGACTCATCCCTGGACGTCTAGACACATACTATCTCTCCGTACGGACTAAATTGCCCATCTCCCCACCTCACTTACAAGGGCCCACTTGTCTCATCCCCTTCCTCCCTCCCCTATCTGTCTTCCTCATTCTCTCACCTGCACTAGCCGCTGCCTCTGCAACCGCGCTTGCCCGCGGCGCCAACCAGCCTTATGTGGGGCGCCCGCAAAGATCCCTCCATGGCTAATGAGCCACATCATGCGACAGTGTGCATGGAGCCTGCCATGGCCGCATCAAGCATCATCCACATGTGAGCGAACAAAGAGTAGCACGGGGAAGAAGCTGCAGATGGTGGTGGGAGATCCACTAGTATTCACCCATGGGAGCTCTGCCGGAGTTGGAGAAGAACATTCTCGATTGTGGGAGCTCGGCTGTGGGGGCTCCGTCTGATTTGGAGAGGGCGAGGAGCTGAAGGATGACGAGGCGGCAGTGGATACCTCGTGCCATCCTTCCTTTTCAGCAGCCTGCCATCTTCCGCTTAGGCCTGAGCGGTGGCGCGGCTAGGTCCACGGACGGCGGATCATCTTCTGCTTGGGTCCAAGCAGCGTGGTGGCTAGGTCCGCAGGGGTGACGTTGAGTCCTCGGTGGAGGGGTGGCAACATAGCAAGGTCCACCGAGGCAGGAGGCGGCAACACCGGGGACCATGGGATTGGAGGGCACGGAATTGACAGAGAGTGTGGGGGTAGGAGACGGCCACCTGGAGTCACGACGACCTCCATGGCCTGGAGCTTGAGAGCAAGAGAGATTGTGTGGTGAGGATAAGTCTGAAGAGTGGGCCCACATCAGTGTAAGGTGGGACCCGCAGTTAGCAAGGGGAGGGTGAAGGGTGTGGCAGGGGCATTTCTGTCCATTCAAAAATACGGTAGCTCAAGGGTGAGTCAAACTACATCCCAAACGTATATCATGGCATATTTTAGGTAGATGAAAAATTATAATGGCAAGCCTTGAAATAGACGAATAGTAATGACAGTTCTCCAATCCACGATGGTAGTTATAATAGCAACAATCCAATTAACCAATATAATGCGCGCGGTTGAGGATGAACACCGCCGTGGTCACCGCCTCTCCCCAGAACTCCGCCGGCATCTTCTTAGCCTTCATCATCGACCTCGCCGTGCCGACCATTGTCTGGTTGCGCCTCTCCACCACGCCATTCTGCTGCGGCGTGTATGGCGCGGTGTGGTGGCGCACCACACCTTGATCCGCGCAGTACCCTGCGAACACTACAGAGGTGAATTCATCGCCGCGATCAGTCCGCAGCACGCGTAGCTTCTTGCCGCTCTCCGCCTCCGCGCGCGCCTTGAACTTCTTGACCGCTTCACGCTTTGCCTCGGTCTTCTTTGGTGGAAAGTGCGACCACATGAACGGTGCAGTCATCCACCAACAAGATGAAGTACTTGCACCCGCCGTTCGTCGCCGGCGTGATCGGCCCGCAGAGGTCACCATAGACCAGCTCGAGGGCCTCTGCCGCCGGTACTTCGCCGTCTTCGGGAACGGCAGCCTTCTTTGCTTCTCGGCCAGGCAGCTGTCACACAGCTTGCCTGTGTGCTCGATGTGAGGCAGCCTCCAGACCATCTTTTCCAGCTTGCCAAGGGCGTCGAAGCTGAGATGGCCAGGCATGCCACAGCCATGGCTCCTCCGTGCGCTGCGCAGCCAAGCAGATGGGCTTCTCCACCTTCAAGTCGAGCAGGTACAACCGGTTCCAGGACCTCTTCACCTTGGCAAGAAGCCGCTGCTCCCGGTCCCTGATTCTGAGGACGCCGTCCTTGATCAGCACCTCGCTGTCGCGCTCATCCAGCTGGTCAATGCTGATGATGCTTGAACGCAGCTGCGGGATGTAATATACATCCGTCAGTGCGCGGTGCTCGCCGTTCTGACACCTGAAGATGATGGTGCCGCGCCCTCGGATCGCCACCCTTGAGCCGTCACCGAACTTCACCGTACCGGTCACGTTGCCATCGAGCTCGGAGAAGGCTGCCTTGGAGCCCGTTACGTGGTTGTTGGCGTCGGAGTCCAGGTACCACCGCTGCTCCCGCTCGACGTCCACACGTCCGAGGTGGACTTGGGCGCGCGGTTCGTCGAGGTTGATAGCCTTCAGAGCCTTCCCGTGCTCCTCCACCGCCACCCTTCTCCTTGGCCTCAACATCGTGCAGTGCACAGAACGTCGCCATCAGGAGGGTGGCCTCATCATCATCATTAGCCTGCGCCAAATGAGCCTCAGCCTTCTTCTCCTGCTTGCGATTTGGGTATTCCTTTGCCCAATGACCTGTCTTTCCGCAGCACCAGTAGGCGTTGGGGTCGACTTTCTTCTTCTTCTCCGAAGAAGCCTTGCTGCGGCGCTTGCCATCGCCACCGCGGCTGGAGGAGGCTTCCCCGGACTTCTTCATCCGGGCAGCCCACTCCTCCTCTGTCAGCAGCAGCTTGCCGTTGTCCGTCGTTGCTATGGCCTGCTCCATGCGCTCGTCCACTGCCCGCAGACGGCCTGTCACATCATCAATAGTGAGGGTGGACATGTCCAGTATCGTCTCTATGGAGAGAGCGATCTAGATGTACTTCACCGGCACGGAGTGGAGGTACTTGGAGACCGCCTCTTCTTCGTCGATGGTGACACCGTGGCTCCCCAACTTGCTGATGAGCGACTGTAGGCGGAGGGAGAAGTCCTTCATCGACTCACCATCCTTGAACTTGAGTTTGACGTACTCCTACTTCAGCAGCTGGGACGTCGCCTTCTTTACGCGATCAGAGCCGACGCGCATCGCTGCAATGGCCTCCCACTCCTCCTTACCAGACTTCTTCGCCCCCAACGGCTCCCGGTACTCCATAGGCACAACAGTGAGGATGGCCTCCAGCGCTGACATGCCATCTTCTAGATCGGTGCCCTTGTCGATGGCGTTCCAGAGCCATCGGGCTCTGAGCTTGACCTTCATGATCACGGCCCTCTCGCCATAGTTGGTGCGAGTCAGTTGTGATCAAGTAGTGCCGCTGACCTCCCACACCGTGCACACGACGATTTCCTGTCGTGGCTGAGCAGCCCTAGCAGCACTGTCGCCTCCCGCAGCTCCGGTGCTATCGCCCTTCTCCGAGCCAGGTGCCATCGCCGGCGATTAGTCCGGCGACGCAGGCGAACCTGTACGGCTCTGATACTACTTGTTGGTCCCTCACTGCCCTGCACAGGTAAGCAGTAAGCTTACCAGCACACACACTCACTCACTATGGCTAGAGATAGAAGAAGGGGTGAGCACAGGCACACACATACAGTACAAGTACCAGCGTTGGTCAGAGCTGCTCTTTTGGTTTGTGGCAACTGAACTGCCTATTTTCATTGCATAGAGGTAGAGTATATACAACTCATGTACCAACTATAAGGTACACATGAGCATGGCTGAGTACAGCCCCAACTACTCCTAGTACTAGCAGTACAATTCCTACCTCAGCCCACTACCAAGACATGGCTGATGTATTAGCTACCAACTAATGTACCAGTGGTGACCTATTGCCCTACTGCTACAACAACTAGGACAGCAGAGAATGACCTATTGCCAAATCTGTTGTGCAACAAACAAAGAGTGAGAGGTCAGCAGCAGATTATGTCTTACATCCCTTAATGATCATGCTGACAATTTTGTTGCTCTTTTCCCACCTCTCAAGCTTAGTGTTGTAAGTTCTTATTACATGAGCAGACACATTTGCAGCGGGTGCAACATGCTTATCCTCATGTAGTGCGTGGTTTTAGTCCGTGACTCTGAGCACCACTAACACCTCTTTCCATGCAGGATAGTTGGTGCCATTCAGGGGGTTGATGTTGCTAACGAGGCCCGCTAGACGGTGGGTTAGGCGCCATTGGGGGCCTGTCCGGCAACGATCCCGTGAACATCAGGGCCGGCGCCGTCGACACCGGAGCCCTTGGTGGCACGGCGGCTGCGCTTGCCGCGTTGCTGGTATGAGCTGCTGCCGAACCCACCACCGGAGTTGCCCCCAGAGGCCACTGTTGAGGGCGTTGGGGCGGCTAGGGCCGATGAGTGCCTGGCGGAGTGGTCGACGGCGGGTGGGGGCTGGCGGCTTGGTGTTGCTTGTCCATGGTAAGCTCCTCCAAGCATAGGTTGTCACGCATCCACAAGATGGAAGGGAATGGGTTGCTCCGGCGGAGGTGGAGCTCGATGGCAGTGAAGTGCTCGTTGAGGCCTCGGATGATGTTTGAGGACGAGGGTGCGGTCGGTGACGTGCTCGTCAAGATCGCGAAGGTCCTCGGCCATCCGCTTGTAGCGGCGGCAATACTCGGCGATGGGAGATCGCCCTGCTGGAAGGAGCTGAACTCCTGGTTGGTGTAGAAGGCGCTGGTCGTACGGTTCCCGAGGAACTAGTAGGTTACATAGGCGGTGGCATCGTGCTGGGAGACGATGTCGGCAAGATCGTTGGAGATGGTGCCGAGGAGCCAGATGCGGACGACACTGTCCATGCGTACCCAGTCCGGGGAGTAGGGCATGACGTCGTTAGAGGACGTGGCGCTCCAAGGAGAACTTCCCGACGGTGAGGAGGAACGACTCGCGCCACCGGGCGTAGAAGCTGGAGGTGACGTCGAGGAGCAGCGGCACGAGGGCGTGGATGTTCTACACGGTGACGGCCTTAGGCGTGCAGTTTTAGAAGGTCTGCGGCCTCGTGTTGAAGGAGAGTGGCGGCGGGAGGATCGTCGTCGGCGACGGGGGCATCATCAGTGGCGGCTTCCTCGTCGCGGTGCAGCTCTGCGGTTGCACGCTCACGGGCAGCGCGGTCGAGGGCGTCACGAAGGCGGGCATCAACCGCGTCGTGCTCGGTTTGGGCAAGGCCTCGCGCTCTGCCTCTGCCGCGCAGGCAAGAGCAGCATCGCGGGCGGCCTTGGCTGTGCGCTCGCGATCCTCCAGGGCAGCGCGAGCTTTCTCAGCGGACTTGAGGGCAGCAGCGTCGGCTGCGAGATCCTAAGGGGCGACGGGGTCGGCCATGGAGCAGCGTTGGAGAGGATGGCGTGCTGGGTGCGGAAGAAAAAAAGGAACAGGTGATTAACCTAGGCTCTGATTACCATGAAAGCAATTGAGATTACATGATTTTGCATTGATCAGTGTGTGAAATACATATACAAGAGTCTGCATGTACTATAGACTAGGAGAACCACGGAAAGATGTCACCGCATGGCTACATGCGGGGATCCACTGGACGTGGTCACCACCAACATGCTTGCCATGCCACCAATCCCTCTGGCTATTGAGTTTCTAGCATGATTGTGTCAAAACCACATAGAGCATCTCAAGAGCTCCTTAAAACAATTCCCTAATTTATTTTTCGGCAAAAAGGGAAAAAAAACTGCACTCAACAGTTTTTTATATGAACTCTCTAAAGATAAGCACTTGTTAATCTTCCCCTCAACTCCAGATATGTGCATGCGTTGCACACTTATTATCGGTACTTGGTGCTAGTTTTTTTTCCTCCCCGCATGGTTTTCTTTGCTGACCCTGGCTGTGGCTGGCCAGGAGTTGCCAGTTGCCAGCTAGGGAGCTGCAGTAGCCTAGGCCGGGGGCGCCGCCAGCGCACAGGGAAATCCTTGTGCTGGGCCCAGTTTAGCAACCAAATATTGCAAACTATTGGAGAAAGGCAATCGAGCTACCTACTTATTTTGTTTACTTGGTACAATCATTGGTTTAACAAGTGATTTTTACAAAACTATTGGATATGCTCTTAGTATGAAAACTGGGTTCAATTGGGTGCACAGTGATTGGTCCTAATATTTGAGGGTTGTAAAATGAATGTTGTCTATGCTCTATGTGATCTACACTTATAAGATATCTTTCTAACATGCCACTAATATTTCCATGTTTCCATTTTCTTCATATTTTACTCCCTATTAAGAAAAATGCCATTACTGAATGATTATAATTCTGCAACTTGGATTCTAGTATTGAACTTTTGATTACTTCATTCAGACAAAAAAAAACATGCCGATTTTGATGAATTAATGCCTGCTCAATTTTCTGAAGGCAGTTGATATAATTCTGTTATGCCGTCGAAAGTTGAATGAAAAGAGTCAAACAGGACTAGTGGATTTGGAGGCTGCAAATGACAATGATCGCCAGAAGCCTCAAGATATTGACCGATCCAAGTAAGTACCTTGTGGTATCATGGGGTCTGCTCTTATTACCTGTTCTTTTGTAAAAACACAATCTTTTGTGTATTGGAATAGATAACTGAACTCATGACAACATAGATTTTGACTCTAATGGGGGTTTTATGTATGTGCTCTGTTGTGGGTAGCCTGCGTGCAGCTGTAGTGCTCCTTGTACACTGAACTAACAATCCTTTCTTCCTTAATTGAATGGCAAAACTCCTGCCCTTTTATTTCAAAAAAATAATGGGAAGTTTAGGCAAATTGATTTGTAACTTTTTCACAATGTTGTTTAGATACTAAGATAGGACACATGGTCAGTTGCTTATTTACTGTATAATTCTTGTGACTTCAGTTTGGTCTGTGTAATTGATGTCGATAGGAGAACTTAACTTGTTTTAAGTACAATATTGTTTTCAAATTCTATCACAGGTTGACCTGCTTTTAGGGAAGGCTTATTCTGATTGGGGCCATATCAGTGATGCTATTTCCGTCTACGATACGCTAATCACTGAACATCCTGAAGACTTCCGTGGTTACTTAGCGAAGGTACTTTTGAATTTCTCTTCTTTTTGGCGCTATACATAGAGTCAGTTAATCTTTTTAGCACAAAGTAAAGGATGAAGTCAGAAGTGGTCTTAATTGTTCCAACAGATTTGAGATGCCAATCAGATATAACCAGTTTTAGCATACTGAACAGTGAATATTACCTCTGATTCCAAATGTAAGTCGTTTAGGACAGCGGCACAGCTCCAATGCGACACTTTGACTTTTCTTTTTGTAAAAATATACCATTTCAAATAGTGAAACTTATATATCACGAAAGTATTTGCCGTCATGAATCTACAATCTAGTAACATCAGCTGTCTGTTGTCAATCTATGTAACTTTTCACATATTCATGAGGCAAGTTAAAGAAGTTTGATAAGCTATAATCCTATAACGGCCTACATTTGGAGTTGGATATATATATATATATATATATATATATATATATATAGGGTAAGGCTATTCTGCAGCTGGCCATAGAATAACTTATTCTATAGCCACCATGATTTACGATAATGTTTGTACCAATTTACGATAACATGAATATGCATTTACGATACTCGTGTTACTATAACTCACGGTGATATTTACCATAATGTTATAGTAAATCATTTAGTAAGGAGTTACTGTAGTCTCGTAAATTAACATAGTAACTATCGTAACTCAAAGTGGCCACAGAATAAGTTATTCTATGGCCAGCTGTAGAACAGTAGTTCTAATGCAAACCATGAGTAGCTCTTGGCTTCCATTACTTTAGTTTTTTGCAGTACTATTGTCTTAATGGATTATGTTGTTTCTATTACGAGTAATGCCAAACAAAGACCATACTTATAGGCTATAGCAGTTAATTTCTTCTACCAAGCAGCAATCATAACTGTATTGTTATCCAATTTTAGGGAATCATATTAAAGGAAAATGGTAAAGCAGGTGATGCAGAAAGAATGTTTATTCAGGTAGTATTTTCTCTTTTTGCTAATAACATTGAAAATTCTTGACAAATACTAGTATAGTTATTTCATATCTTGCTAGTAGAGAAAAAATGATATAGATACCAGGAATAGGGGTCAGCATGTTTGGTTATGGTCCTACTGCTGCATGGCCATGTGCCAACTATGCCTTCCTATGCCATCAAAGAATGTTTGGATGTGATCTAGATCCAAACCGTAGGAAATAGGAAAACACTACATCCTCTAGTGTTGGGTGACCGACCCTGTATATATATGGCTGGGAATGGCTTGGAGTACAAAGATAGGTACAATTGATGAGGTCGACACGTGTAGAAACAGCTTCTCCCCAAAAATGAGAAGGAACAAACGAGGAAATTAGAAGTGTTCTAGAAGTTTCTATGAGATGGCGGTGTTTGCGTTCAGCAATACCATTCTTAGCATGTGCGCCGGGACAAGAGAGCTGAGCAAGAGTACCCTCAGATGTCACACGCCTGATTACGGGCCCAGGAGAGGGCCCAGTCCGGCCAGGCCTTGGACGACCGCGCCACCAGAAGGGGGGCGCCACCAGCGGAGGGGCGGCCTCCCACCGCGCCTCTGACTTCCAAATATCCGAGAGGATAAAAAATAATAGGAAAGTCTAGAATAAAAAATAGATCTGGTTTATTTAGGAAATAGGATCGGCTTGCTTGTAAAGAAGAAGTCTAAATCTATAAAGACTCTTCTCCTAGTTCCTTGGAGGATAAGTTTAGATTGCTTAGGGGCGAAGTCTCCCATGACTATAAATAGAGGGGCTATGTCACCGTTCAAGGGTAAGCAAGGAATTGGCCTAAGGCCTTTTATCCCCCCCTCTCCCTTCTAAGCCTCGTTCTTCTCCCCAGCCGTCCCCACGGGAAAGGACTCTGACACCTGGTATCTAGAAACTAGATCGATCCTACGGGTCAAGCTCCGATCAACGACGATGGAGAAAATCTGCAACAACGTCCGCAAAATCACCGATCGCCTTTTCGAGGAGATGAACAAATTCCTTGACCAGCACCACTAGAATCCTCCATCAAATCCAATTCAGCCGGAGACGATCACACCAACTGTGCCAACCGCGCCCAAAGGAGGAGCACCGCAAACAACGCCAACAATCAGCAGGCTCTACACCGAAATCAGCCCCAATTTTGCTCCTACAGATGCATCTAAGGGGTCTTCGGATGGAACCGCCTCGGCCACCAAGCACGACACCAACTCCACAGCCGCAGCCAAGGACAATACAACAGGTCTATCTCGACTCCAACATCCATCGGCCTATGCTCATGGCCGCCCGCCAAGCTGCAGGCCCCCTGGGAGGTCCAGGACCATACAACAACTACTTCTACGGCTACATTGGCAACCTCCTGTACTACTTCGAGTTCGTCATTGACCGCACCCACGACAACATGATCAGGGCTGACCCCGTCCGCGGTCGCCTATTGGTTCGGGTGGAGGCGATATCACCGACCCAACCTCTTCCACCGAATGTCGTCAACCCTTGGGCCTTGCTTCAGCGCGAGGACGCGCTGCCTGGAGAAGCGGGGAGAGATGTCACACGCCTGATTACGGGCCTAGCCTGGCCAGGCCTTGGACGACCGCGCCACCAGGAGGGGGACGCGATCAGCGGAGGGACGGCCTCCCGCCGCGCCGCCGACTTCCAAATATCCGGGAGGATCAAAAATAAAAGGAAAGTCTAGAATAAAAAATAGATCGGGTTTATTTAGGAAATAGGATCTGCTTGCTTGTAAAGAAGAAGTCCAAATCTATAAAGCTCTTCTCCTGGTTCCTTGGAGGATTAGTTTAGATTTCTTAGGGGCGAAGTCTCCCAGGACTATAAATAGAGGAGCTATGCAACCGTTCAAGGGTAAGCAAGGAATTGGCCTAAGGCCTTCTATCCCCTCCTCTCCCTTCTAAGCCTCGGTCTTCTCCCCTGCCTCTCTACAGCCGCCGCCTCCCTCACCCTACGCCGCCGCCCCCTACCCTAGCCGTCCCAGCCGGCCCCACGGGAAAGGACTCTGACATTAGAGGTAAAAAAATTGACGAAATATATTAGATAAATACTCACCACCAGAGTCAAAGCGAAAGACTCTGATAGGAGTAGAGAACTGAGTGTGAACCATGCGTGCAAAAGACTTGTAAATAGAACATAATTGAGATCGATGTTTCATGAAATAAATCCAAGTATAACGGGAATGATCATCAATGAAAATAACATAACATTTGTAACCACTAACCACCCTTTGTAGCAAAAGGTGCAGGGCCTCATACATCTGAATGAATAAGATCAAAAGGTCTTGCAGAATGAGAAACACTAGAGGAATATGGAAGTTATATTTGCTTTCCAAGCTTGCAACCTTTACAATGGAAGCTAGACTCGACAAATGTATGACCTAGGCAACCTTTATTTATTAATGTTGACAAATGGGATCCACATAAGTCACCAAGACGGTGATGCAACTTGGCGAAGGACGAGGTGGATGAAGATGTATTGGAGGTCACACGTGATGTGGATGTGGCAGAAGAAGGAAGACGCAAGGTGTCCAAAACGTAGAGGCTAGGAGCACCTTTACAAGGATGGCCAGTCCCAATCACAGCCCCGCTTCAACGATCCTGAATGAAACAAGATGAGTCATCAAATCTGACAAAACAATTGTGATCAGTAACTTGGCCTACTGAGAGAAGATTCATGTTTAACTGATGAGAATTGCAAAGAGAACCCTGATGACTGATGTGACAAGATGTACCATCAGTAGTCTGAATAGAAGCACCATCCGTGACTGGTTTGCATGCGACCAAGTGGGACTGATCAGATGTCACATGGAAGGAAGCTCCTGAATCAAGAACCCAAGACGTCGAGGGAGCACTGACAGGTGAGGCTGCAGCAATAGAAACTGAACCTCTTGGAGTGGAGCTAGTACCACGACCACAAGCAGCACGTGCACGATACTCGGCCAATTTCGCTGGATGTTGAGCAAAACAATTCTCTAGAGGATGACCAGTCCTGCCACAGTGCTTGCAAGGCTCTAAGGTGGTGCCTTTTGGTGCACTGGTTTGCTGCAAGGCTGCCAAAACACTATGAGGCACAGATACAGAAGAAGCATACATAGACTGGAGACGTGTTTCTTCTGCAAGTAAATCAGCCAAGGCCTGTGCCATAGTGATATTGGAGAAATTGTGAAGCAACCAAGTACGAATGGAATCATATTTTGCCTGAATGGAGGCGGCAGCCCATATCGCCCGCCTCCGTTAATCTGAGGGCAGTATCTCGCAAAATGATTTGTGTAGTAGTGATGAGTGTGAATGCGCAGTTTGGGAGTCCGTGCCATGGCGCTGATGTACGGTTAGGGGCCTGGCATGATTAGGGCAGCACAAGAGAAGTGTGTTAGATAAAAACCCAGACTTGGATACCATGTAGAAAAATCAGGAAACACACACCCATTATGAGGGTTCGGTGAGCTTGTATATATATATGGCCAAAAACAGCTTGGAGTACAACATAGGTACAGTTACAAGTCATGTATAGAACTCTATCTTTAATACAAACTTATAGGACTTGATTTCAATTTGAACTAAATCCTAATTTTTTTTAAAGCATTCCACCTCATCCAAAGAGGCTATACAATGTAGAAGTAAACTGAGGTGAAGATAAAATGGAGTGATCAATGTCTTTGATCTGAATTTGTAATGTATGCCTTAACCTTCCTTGCAGGCAAAATTCTTTGCCCCAGAGGCAGCAAAGGCACTAGTTGATCGCTATGCACAAAGATAGTCGGTGAGACGATGACAGATTGAATGGTGCTGTTTTGGACCAATGAAATTGTTCGGTCCATTCCTACGTGCAAATGTATCCGCAAGTTAGAAGGAAATTCTAAGTAATTTCACCCACCGTGTGCAAACCTTACATTCATAGACAAAATGAGATATATTTGTCAGTAAATAGGTCACGGTTGTGTTTTGCACAGATGATCATCAGGATGTTAGGAACGTCTTGTATCATAGCAACATTATGGAATCTGGGACATTTTGAATTGTATTGTTCTGGAACGACAGAAATGAAACATGTTATGCTTTGCCTTGGAATAAGTCTCAGTTAAACATTTTGATATAGTGTTTATTCCATTATCTAAAAAACATTAAGATATGTTAGGAACAAATTATGTTCGCATGGCACGCCCCTATGGCTTCCTCATATATCCATAATCACTTGAAACCTGATCGTCGTTGAGGTGTTTACATCACTTGAGTAGTTACTAGGGTCATATCTTTTTGTTGCTCTGGTTAAAAGGTAGTTTGTATTCCCTGTGCACGATTACAGATTACGGTTGCAACATGCGTGAACATTGTATTTGTGCTTCTGTAGTTCTATAGATACCATGTTTATGAATTTTGTTAATTCCTTCCCTGCCCTTTAAATTGTACTCCTTTTTCCCTTTAAATTATAACAACTTCTGCTTAATGTATTAGTAATTGGAAGCTTTCTTCCAATTGTTCTGCCTTGCGAAGTGGCCACTTGGGCTGGGATTCCTTGAGTGAAAGTCTGAATAAAAGAAATCCACATGACTTAGGAACTTTCGGTGACATGACATGTATGGTGTTCTTATGGAATCCTTAGTTCTCTAGTACAATTAGATGGGATTATCCTACAGTCTACAGGAGGTATTTGTATCCAATTATAGGTGTTAGGGACGCAAGCAGGTTTGTTCACAGAACCATAAATAGGTTTAATTTTGCCACAGGTAACCTGCAAAATTCATGTTATTTGTGGGTTTGAGGGTAAGCCGGCTTGCATCCCTAATAGGTGTCCTCGGTTGTGTTATATATATGGTAATGCTTGGTTCAGGGCATCCGGACGAACGGACGGATCGACCCCGAACGCGTAACGTCCAAAAAAAAAGGAGGGGGCGTGTAGTTACAGTTAGGTGGGTCCACACCTGTCCTTTTCTGTGGGGCAGCGAGCGCATGGGAGCGTGTGCGGCCATTCGTTCGGGGTGCAGTTCAGGATGCATGCGACGCTCGGTGAACCATGCATGTGCGTGACCACGGACAGAGGCTCCCTGCTACGCCTGTTGCTGGCTGGACCAGCCAGCTAGGCCCCTAGCCGCACGTGCCCATGCATCGCTTGGGGAATCGTGCATGTGCGTGACCACGGAGAGAGGCTCCTTGCTGCGTCTGTTGCTGGCTAGACCATCCGGCAAGGCCTCTAGCCGCACGCACCCAAGGCCGCAGGCCTCCCTGTCGCGCCTGCCCTCTGCTGCCTAGCGCCTAGGCCTGCTGCTGCTTATCGTCCTGCTCTTTTCTCTCTCTTGTGTTGTCTGCGCCTAGACCAAGCTGCCCCTGCCGTATGTTGCCTGCAACGTTGCTACTTTGGCCAACCGGATTAGCCAGTTGTAGGGCCGGCCATGCCACTTGCCTGTTTGTGAGAGGAGCGCGGGTCGACATCTGCGCATGCATCGTTTGCTGCTTCCGTGACGGTTGACCGTTGGTAATTGAGTGCTGGCCCAAATTTTTCCGGCACTATGGCATCGAGCTCCGTATGTTTTCATGCGTTTCGGATGTATGTTTCATCTGATGTTGCATGTATTTCATCTTGATGTTGCATACGTTGCATTGGCTATACACCTATGGTGCAAGTGTATGCTTCAAATATTTCTGTTTCAGACGTATGTTGTAAGTATTTTGTCTGTATGTTTCATATGTTGAAATGGCTATACACGTATGTTGCAATTGTGTTTCATCTGTTTCAAACGTATGTTGTAAGTGTTTTATCTGGATGTTGCATATGTTGCAGTGGCTATACAAATGTTGCAACCGTATATTTCAAATGTTTCACCTGTTCAAACGTATGTTGCAGTAAGTGTTTCATGTTGCAAGTGCTTTCATTAGCGACACAGTATGTTTCATGCGTTTCAGATGTATGTTTTATATTTTTTATCTGAATGTTGCATGTGTTTCATCTGGATGTTGCAAAAGTAGATCTGGTGTTGCAAATGTAATTCTGATCCCCACCTGCATGCACGTCCATGGGCGCGCGGCATAGAAGCGAAGCGAGGGGCATAGTAGCATGCAGGGGCACAGGCGTGGGGTGGTCCCCACCTGCATGCACGGGCGCGCAACAGAGAATGAAGCGAAACACGTAGCAACATGCACGGGCCTGCGTACGTACATGCAACCCTATGTGGGGGGCGGGCGGGCAAGTGCACAGTTGCAGCCGCAAGTGGGACAATCGAGGCAGGCGGTGACAAGTGCAGCATGCGGTCAGACTCATCAGGCATGCGGGGCAGGCGCGGGCGTCTGAACGTTCAGACGCTAACCACGTCGTTATATATAGAGAGAGACACTAAATCCATGTCCATGTCATACTTTGGGATCGTGGAATGATATCTTGTTCATCATTCATGATGACATCACAAAGTAAACAAAAACGAAACATGCATGTGTGGATGAAAAATATATATTTGTCATCAATGATCCATCTGTGGACGAAAAATCGTATATTAGTAATCAATGCAATCAATTGGAAGTGAACAAGCCCCGATCCCTTGTGTGAATGTAAGAACAGACAGTCCAAAAGATGCATGGTATATTGAAGTGTTTGTTGATTACCTACCTGAAGCCTGAAGGCATTTTTAGAGCCTAGACTAGAGGCGGTGTGACCTCTTGCGATGAATTAATCTAAAAATTAGGAGGGAAGTGGCCGAGGAGAGAATGGTAATCGATGTTGCCAAAAATATGAAAACCCCATTTACGAACATGCACCAAAATATTAACATTTGATAATAAGTAAAAAAAATCAGCATGTTCGGTACTGCTGGACTGGATCGTGTATTATTACGGCTGACTGGTTTGGTGTGAGAGAAAAATAATATTCTACCTACAAGACACTGTTCATATAAATAGTGCCCACGTGAGGGCTGGCCAGCACCAGCCGGCCAGCCGTTCCAGCCGGCTGAATATTTATGTGTCAGTAGATAGCTAGTCTAGAAATTAGTCTAACCATAATATTGCTTTTGTTTTTTTTTTGGTAAACAAGTAGTTTACGAGTTCAATTGTGTGCAAGTTGAAGGGAGCGACGACAAGCAATTAATCATCATATATCTAGCTACCCCACTATTCCACCAAATAGTCTGGAAAAGGGTAAAAAGTAGTCTGAAAACAAATAGTACCAGTGCTTTGGCTTGCGTTTTGATTATTGTTATTATTTATTATTATGAGATTGGCATTCCAAGCAGGCGGGGCGCCATATTTCACGGTCGTTCAAGAGACGCCACTCCGTATATTTGGAGTCATGGTCATGGTCATGGCCCACCCTAAGTTAGGCACTTCTTAAAATTGGGGTAAAGGACACGGCCCTCGTCATCTCTGTTTGCACGCTTAATTTCTTTCTTGAATTATTAATGCTAGGAATTCTCGGGTGCTTGTTAGGATAACATTTATATTATGGACTTTACTACAGCATGCATGTGCAGAATTTGGACTTCCAGCGCGCACACCTCCTCACAATAGTTTTTAGTCGCAAAAAAAAAAAACACAGCGGCTATTCTGCACCGACTTCGGTGCCCTCGCCCCCGTCGCCGCCGCCGCCCCACCACGGCGAGCTAGGGTTTTGCTGGCCGTGACCACAGAGCTCAGGGGAAACCGCCCCTGCTACGCCAACTCCCCTAAACCACCCAATGACCATCCCCACCGCTTGCCCTACCTGCCTCCCACCGGAGTTGGAAGAGATGATAGGGAGAGCTTGCTGGAACCCTAGCTTAGTGATCCAGGAGGAGGATGAGGACGAGGAGGAGGAGAGATGAGGAAGAGGAGGCCTACCTGGCGCGGATCCGCTGCCGCCGCACCGCCAGATCCGCCATGGCCGGCGCGGGCGCGGGAAGGAAGCCGCCGGTGAGGTTCTTGCCGAGAGAGAGAGAGAGAGAGAGAGAGAGAGAGAGAGAGAGAGGGAGAGGTGTGCGGGCGCCGGGCGGGTGGGGTGTGCGGGCGTCTCCCTCCGATACTGCATGTTTTCTTTTAAGCATTTTTGTTATATTATAGGTATTAGAAAGTACTTCCTCTGTTTAAAATAGTTTTCACTTTAGTTATGAATCTGAACATTATCAAGATTTATAGCTCTCTAACTATTTTGGTATCATGGTATGAATGGAGTAGTAGAATGCAGGGCGTGCTGTGCTCAACTGACGTGACGTAGACCTTCTGTCAACCGCTGTTGGCAAGTAACCAGTGAAACAACGACTTAAGAAAGTCGAGTCCTCACTGACACAAGTGTGTTACTAATTAATTAACAAGTAGTCACACAGTTGGTAATGCCGCATGGCCCTCATCTGTGACTGTGTTCTATGTAGTCATTTCCAGGCTTCTGTTCTTCGAAATGAAATATTTTATTTAAAATCAGGACAATGCAAACGACTAGTATGTTAAATCCGCAATCCACGGCTGGGGAAACTCCAATCATGTACTAACAATATTGAGATTGGCTTGGCCTCAGAACTCGATTGCATGCGGGTCCCATGCCACATCGGCAGATCCTGGGAACTCTCTCGGCCACAAGCTCCCCGTGGGGGCACCGCACTCACAGGCTCTTCTTCCTCCCGTGAACCTGACCGGGAGTGGTGTGCTGACGTGACCAGGGTACTGTCTATGCGGCCATTTAAGCTTATTATAGTGCCCGTACTAACGTCACGGTTTTATTTTAAGGATGTAAATAAAAGCAACCAAATGACGATATTGTTTACATAGTTTAAGTTGTACGCAATTGTATATGACCATATAATTCGGAAAACACTCGTACATAACAAGCACTTGCGTTGCAACGGGAGACGATTTTCAAAACCGACACAAAGATCACTTATTCAGCACGGCAAGCAACATGCAAGCTTCACAGTGCATTCGAGACAAGATATCCATGACCTGAGAAATACAGGCTAGTTTTTTTTTACTTTCAAGAGAACCCCTGAGAAACCAACTTTGGATCATTACACCTATCATATCTGATAGCTAAGCTGACAACTGAAATATTGGTGTTCACTTTTACAAGAATAAGTTAAACGGAAACAAAGCCATGACAATTTTTCCTTTTTGAAATAACACTCTCACTAGGAAGTAGTTAAAGAAATATTAGAATCTACAGAGTCTTAGCATCATCTGTTTCAAGCCATATTAACAACCATGACAATAATATGATTGATAACCATCGGTGATAAAGCAAGCACTGGGTAGTGTTCTCGTGAATGAAACATATGGCATGTGAAAAGTTACTTTGCATCTGGCAGTGTTCTCCTCGGATTTAGTTTTCTAGAACGCCATATCAATAAGTCAATTGCCCACCAAGAAATAGGAAGGCCACACCTTACAGAATCTCTGTATGATGGCTCCTTTCTGGCTTTGATTTCCCTGCAAGCAATCATGCATTGAGAACTCTGAATTGAAAATAGAATAGAACTGGACATAAATAGAATCCGACTACAAGCTAATTTGAAGCAAAACCAATCTTTCGAGCAAATAAATGGATCCTAACTTCCCAAAAATTACAAAAAAAACTCAAAATTGGATTCTATGAAATATACACAGATACGAGAAAAGAAATTTTAGGCACATAAAAAAAATTTGTCAAAACATTCTCAAGCACCACATCCTAACATATGAAAATCTAGGCACATAAATAGAAAATATTAATGTTGGTTGTAGAGGGATACTGTGAGTGCACATCAATGGATAATGTGTGTGACTTATCAGGTGGCTCAGAGACAAGCAACAGAATAACTACACTTGGCCAGTACATGCAGTAATTTCATGTTCCATCTCTAACTGCAGATTAAGCTTCCTACTACTGCCAGTATCTTGGAGAATAAAACAGAGACTGAAATGGCAAGCATAAACTTGAATACCAAGAGCTACCTTAGTTGGTGAGCTGCACCATGAAACATGAGGTCAATAGTGTTTAACAATCAATATTCAGCACGAACTGAATGTGGGAAAGGTATATGATAATGATTTCATGGAGTATCCAGGCAAACAAATTATCACATTATGGCTAAAACAATACATGTATCATACTTTTGTTGGAAGCAAAACAAGATCACTGTTGTTAGCAGTCCCAACATCAACCACGATGGCTGTAAACTCAGTGCCACCTTTAAGAAAAACCACTGTGATAACTTTATCATCAATTCCCTGTCAACCAGCAGAGGATTTCAGGTCTCAAAATTACTACTATGTTTAACCTGAATGATTCCAGAAATACACTAGAAAGAATTTTGCACCTCAAAAATAATTTGGATTTAAAATAAGGATAGAAGAAGCAAAATAAATTGTGCACAAAGTTTATTATAGTTTCACTTAGTAGTATCCATTGCCTCTATCATAAATATTAGTTCCCAAGTCCCAGTATCAAACAAGTCATTGCATACCAGGAATTAGGAGGGCTGAGCTCAAATGCAGACCTGCAGTAGAAGTTTGCAAGAAGGGAGATCTAGGAAGTTTCTTTCAGGTGAGATCCCATCATTTTGAAAGCCAGTAAATAATCAAAAAGACGGTGCAGGCCGCGATCACTGCTGAAAGAATTATAGTGTCTTTGATTTCTTCCGCTCAATGGCGCCTGCAAGGATGAATAGGCATAATTATATGGATGTTCTAACACAGTGGCTGCAGGGAGTCCATGGGAAAAGTAGTATTACACAGCAGCGAGTAATACAATTGCATCATAGCATAATAAAAAATCAGTGCTGCAGCATGCAAAGAAGGGATCAAAATATTAGCAAGAAGACGTCTGATTATCGGAAACTTTTCACCCAACTGCTTGACTTTTCCTTGAATATCTCCAAACAGGTGTGGCGCCACGCGGGAGACGAACACATATGGGGACGGGACGGCGCTGCCCGAGGCAGCAGCTGCTGCAGCGAGGCGAGGCGGCAGCGGTAGCACCATGTCCAAGACCATGAGGTTGAACTAATCGTAGTTAATTGCGTCAAACATTCCTTGACTATCTGAAAATTCAAGAAAACAACAATTAACCAAAGACATGTTATTTCATTTCATTCAAATCATTAAAGTGAGTGCAGCTTTGCTTTACCTCCAAAACAATAGCTCCACCTGTGGAGTACCCAAATAAGAAGTACATGGCAAACCTCAGTTTCCCTCCAGCTAAAATTGATATCTATGCATATATTCTGTATGTATGAAACAGTAACAAGTCACCAACGGTAACATATCCATCAACCCCATCACTTCCACAATGTCCTTAGGAGACAAAACCACATGCATCAATTACGAAGTGCAGCCAAGAATCTCACTGTAATGTTGCAGAATAAACTGCACTTAACATGTACAACATGATTTTAAGTGTCCTTGTTCAGAGAACATTCTAAGATGTTTTCACAAATAAGCTACTCAAACCAGTGATTAATCAAAACAAAGTATTAGAAATGAGTGACACAGGCTACCAACCATTACAAATTTCAGATCTACTCAAATCAGTACGTACCAAAACTGTACGCAACCATGATGTGTGCGTGCACATACATTCAGAGCTTCTTCAGATCTAATCATGGAGCAAGTGGGGGACAAAGTTAATACGGGAGAGAAGAGACAACAACAGTAGATGACAGAACACTGATGAGAGTAGTCTACATGCCTCGTGGTCGCAGGCGAGGATGTTGTGGAGGTGGTCCAGGTGGTCGCGCTCGCGCCGGCTGTTCTCGCCCTCGTGATGGTTGCGAGATGTGGCGAGCACAAGGTGGTGAAACATGGCGGCCACCTCCGCGTCGGGGGCTCGCGCCGTCGACGCCGCCTCCGCGTCCAGGGCTCGTGCTGCCGCCGACGCCGCCTCGGCGTCCGGGGCTTGTGCCACCGCCGCCTTCTCCATGTCTAGGGCCCAAGCCGTCGCCGCCACCTTTGCGTCTAGGATTCGTCCGTAGGGGAGAGGAGAGGAGGAGTCGCGAGTCGCGCGTGGGGGAGAGGAGAGGAGTCGCGGAGTCCGCTCGTGTGGGAGACGGGGCGTCGGGGGAGAGGAAGGGTCGCGCGTGGGGTGATCGCGGGATGGGCCGAGTGACCGCGGGATGGGAGGTCCGCGGCAGGGCGATGGAGGGCAGACACACTAAACATGAGCTGTCGGATTTGGATGAGTAATGAGAGAGAATGGCTAAGAGATAATCTGGTGCATCCATTTTGATGGTGTTATATTTTCTGGATGCATTCATGGGTGTAGATGTAGCATAGGTCATGACTGTGGAGCAGACATTTGCTATGTGGCTGTAGATTTATTATAATTGGTGTATTATAGGGTAGGGTATATATGAGTAAAGCTTATGACCACGTTGCGTGGATGTTTTTGGAGGATATGATGACTAAGACGGGGTACCATAGGAGGTGGGTTGATTTGATTATGAACTGTGTAACTACGGTCCTTATAGGATCAAGATAAATGGTGCTCTCTCAGAAAATTTCAAACCAGAGAGGGGATTAAGGCAAAGGGATCCACTGCCGCCGCCACCAGATCCGCCATGGTCGGCGCTGTAACACCCCGGTGTTATGCCTACATTTAAGCACTGCAAATCACGCATATCATGCATCATCAAGCATCCAAATCCTACGTGCTTAATCATGTGCATATCAATTGAAACATTGTTTTGAAACAATTGAAACGTCGTGAAACACAGAATGTTGCATACACCGGTTTAAGAATTGTTTTGCCCCGATTTTGCTTGCTAGGGTAGTAGAGCTTGTTTGGTTATAATTATAAATCATCTAGAATTGTTTATCACAATTTTTGGAGCAAGGTTTGCATTTGAATTATTGCCAAATTTTGCTTTAAAATAATTCTTCAAAATTAGGGTTCAAGTCAAAATTGACTTTAATTGTATAATTCAAAATCTATAATGAATTGGACGTTGGTCTTAAAATCAAAGTTGTAGAGGATAAAATTTTGAGCAACTTTTATTTTTGGCCCAAAGTTTGAAACTACTTTGATTTAGTCCAAAAATTCGTTTGAATGGAAAAGGAATTCAAATTTATTTGAAAAATCTTGTTTTTACCTTCGTGGGCCTCATACTCGCTTTCGCCCGCCGCTTCTTGAAGCCGCCCAGCCAGCAAAGACAACGACCACAAGAAGCGCCAGCCCATCGTCTCGGCCCGGCCCATGCACAAGGCCATCCCTGTTGCTTTATGCGCACGCCACGATATCATGGCATGAAGCGTCCGCACAGCGTGGCGAGATGTGGCGTCAGCCATGTGGCCTGGCCGCATGGTTCTCATCGCGCCGCCGCGCCTTCACTGCTGATGCCCAAGACTCGCTCACGCGCCCACGCTTCCTCTTCTCCTCCAGAGCCGAGAGCTCGAGCTCGCCACGCCGCGCTTGCCAGCTTCCGCACGGCGGCTTAAGCTCGCACCGCCGTGTCATTTTCCGATTGCTCGCGCCCACACGCGCCTCGCCCTTCGCTTCGGCTCACGCGCTCGCGCTGCGCCGCCTTCCGAAACCTGGGTGAGCTTCCTGCGTGCCTCGCCACCGACGTCCATGGCGCCGCTGCGTTGGTGCCGGCATGAGTGGGGCGCCCTCTTCTCCCCTTCTCGATAGGTGCTTATTGCTTGCTTCGCTTCGCCATGGCCTCGCACACCTATTGTGCTCGCTTGCTTGTTTGCGTTGCCATCGGGAGAGGCGGCCGACGGTCATTGGCCGAAGTTGCCGCCACATGCTTATAGCGCCCGCCAAGAAGCGCTCTGCTTTCTACCTGCCAGCCGAGCCAGTAGGGGTTGACGCCTACTGGGCCGTCTTCTTTCCCTCAAGGCTGGTCACAGAGAGGCGGTTGTGGCCGTGGGCCAGCTGTTCCCACGGGCCGCCCAAATGATGCTTAAGTGAATTGATTTTTTCATTATTCTTTATTATTTGAAATCTGAAATGGTTTGAAAAATATTTGGATGGTCAAACTTGCTCCAAATTTGTTGAAACAAATTTTGCTAGGTTCCTTGTCACCAGATCTACTTGGGAAAATTATTGCATGTCATTTTTGAGATACTTTTCTATAGGATTTTATTTAATCATGTAAATTGCTGATAACTTGAAAAATGTGTATAAAAATATATAGGCTTCAGAAAAATATGATTTCAAGTTTGTTCATCTTCTTATGTCATGTACTTCCTAAGAAAAATAGGTTTCATGCATGTGCTGTGGGAAAATTTTGAGGTGTAGTTCAAGTCCCTTTAATGGCTGATTTTTGTTATTTTTGCTAAAAAGCCAAAGTTGCATAAAACATGCATCTGATAATTTTTGTACAGTCATTATATGCTATTAAGAACCTAGGAAAAATATTAATTCTGTTGTTTGACACTTTTCATAGTACAAAGTAATTTCATGCTCATTTTTATGCTATAGCTTGTCATTTTTGTGTAGGATAGTTTACTTATCCAAATGCTATGAAATTTTTATGGTAGTCTGTTTAGGGTAGTATTATGCTACTGTAATTTTCTCAGATTTTTAGGAGCATCAGAAATATATGTTGCTATTCAAACCTATTATTAATTAGGGTTTAAGCAAGTGTTGTTTTAAGTGTGATTAAGAAATTAGTAAAGCTTTGGTGTATCTTTGAAGCATTTCATAAGATATGTTAACTTAACATATTAGTAGTAGAAGAGAATGCAGTAGATGACGTGTGCTTGTAGTATAGTTTCTTGGATGATGTTGACTACCTTGCCTTTCAACATATCCATTGCATTCATCTCCTTCGATGCACCGATTGCATAGGCACTTACACGCATTGCATCATACAGGATCGCAAACCGAGAACCCAGTCGTCATTCTCGAGGAGCCCGAGGAGCGATTCGAGTGTCTTGCTGCAGAAGTGCCCGGCCGACGAGGAGGAGGCGTTGAAGAACTTCCCGAGTGCCCCGATCACCGTCCGAAGCTCCTTCGAGAGAGGCAAGCCCGAGCATCTTTCTCCGGTTTGCAATGATTTCATTAAATACTTTACTTAAATTGATGCATTACGTTTAGGAGTTGTTTGCAACCGTTCTTTGCATTATACCTTGTTTACCTTTGTTATACTATATCCTTGTTACCCGGTATCCGCAATGAGTCAATGCTTATTTGGCTTAGACCGGTAGAAGTCGGGTGATTTCTGTCACCGCGAGCTATAGGTGGTTACCGGATCTGCTTGGATGGCTATGAAGTCATGGTATAACTAAGTGTTAAATGAAGTTGAGACCCAAGGCGGAGACTTGCGAGTTTTGGACTGTGAGTGTTTCCGCTCAGGTCGATTAAGGACCGACCGTTGTTGGGCCTCGAGTCATGTTGAACGATGCCTTACATTTAGTGGCCGGATAAAGTACCTTCCGACCGCTGAAGCCGGGAGATTTTTCGGGCCGAGTAGATTGCCATGACGCAGAGCCTGCGTCGAAGCGGTGTGGTAGGACACGGGCGGATGATAAGACCAAAGTGCAATCGGTCGGCCCCGGTATGTGGTTCTGGCAAACTCGAGATACCGGAAAGTTGACTCGGTGATCAATATCTCACTTTAGCGGGTGAGTAAGATTTGTGTAAGGAATAAATCACCGGTGGTTAGTTAGAATCGATTCGAATCGCCATCGCCTCCGGATAGTGAGCACTTGACTTGAGTGACTTCATCGTAGTAAATGTTTATGGAACACTTGGACAATTATAGTGAATATGACAAGATGGAAGTTGTTTAATGATCGGGGTTATCATTAATTGCTTAATCACATGTTTACTCTAGTATAGATGCAAATCTAGTCGATAGGTTAATAATAATTAAGTTGACAATAATGCCTTTCGAAAAGTTCTTGAAATGCTAAAAATGCTTCTTTCTGCAAATGAGTCAGCTACCCTACTATAAAGCCCTTCATAATCCTTGGTGTCAATTATTTTCGGTTATGTCGGGTAAGTCCGGTTTGAGTACCTTCTCGCACTCTGTGGTTTTATTCCCACTTGTTGCGAGATGGGCGGATGTATTACTGCTATTGTATCAACCGCCTTTATCCTGCGATGGTGATGCTTAGGACCATGGGCATGGTCGTTCCTTATGTCTCATCTGATGCTTTTGTTGGAGATGATCATTCGCTGGCACTCTATTTAAACTCCGTGTGTGTGTGTGTGTAGTTTGAACAAATGAATTCCGCTATTTTCATTCGAACTGGTTTGTAATAACTATGTTGAAACTTCGATGTATTTGAGATCGCGAACTTTTATGTAATATGTGATGGTGACCGCTAAACTTATTACGATCATCATTTGGGACACGAGTTGGTTTGAAATCCTTTGTGATTTCACGGACTACCGGGTTATACGGGCTTAAGTTTGTTCAATAAATGCGCTTTCGGTGGATGATTCTCTTACTTAATTTCAGATAATTGGTCGGTTTACATTACGGTGGTATCGAGCATAGTTTAGCGTGTTATCGCATTCACAAGTGTATTTAAAACCAAAGGCATTTGAAAACGTGATTTTCAAAATCTAAAGTGTGCCGATGATCATATCCTTTATGCCCGATTAAGGACTTTAGGTGGCTTAATTAAATCTTGATCGGGTTCTTGCATCATATTTCTCTTTAAATCGCTCATACGGCGTGCTATTGTATGAGTGCCACTTGTTTGAGTGGTAATGAATAGATCATTTGCCTCTCACGCCTCGGTAAGTGTGAGTTGTGAGAGCATGATCGGATACACCGCCGATCTAGGGTAAATGCTTATATGATCGAGTAATTACATGTTCTACGCATGTTTTACAAAGGTATCTCATGTATGGGTCTTCCGTCTATGGAGGCGATGCCGTCAATAGGACGATGGTTGGAGTAGTTACTACCGTTGTACACGTATCTAGGGATTCGTGTAGAGCGTGTAGATAAAACTTTATCGCTT